TATAGTATAATTGGGGAATGGAAGTATAATCATGTGTACAAAAAACAAACAAACAAATAATCAAGTTATACCTAAATTTCCCATGAAATCATCAGAAAAATTTCTGCTGCTGAAAAGGAAACAAAATGAAAAAAGAATAAAAATTTAAAAGGAAATTATTTTTTTCTTACAAACTTCAGAACTCCTTAAGCAGACAGTAATCAGGCAGACTGGCAGAGCCTCGAGCCAGGGTGTGCAAGGACACGTCTGTGGCACCACGATGTCCAAGAACAAGCCCAGCACTGAACACGCTCCCCTGGCTTCATTAATCCAACCCTTGCTCGTGTATCAAAGTGCAGCACGTTTTCTTGTAAAAATGATTAAGCTGCTAATTAAGCTGTTTATAACTTGTTTCCCTGGTTGCTAATGATAATTAACATGCAAATTAGCCGAGGGAAGAGAGGCACAGGGGTCCTCAGTTCATTACCAAGTTAATTACTGTTTGCATACTTAAACATAACAGTTATAAATGGTGGCATTTAATGTAATGGCCAAGATGATAATTATACCAACGACATTTTGAAAAGTCATTTCACTGTGTGCTATTTTTCTGGGTGATTAATGTTTCCATGGCTGGTTGATAAACTTACTCCAAACCCATGAGTTGGAAACAGCATAACCAGACAAGTTACCCCTTAACAACGTCTCCTTAGCCCTGTTTGTAAATGAGGGAAGGAATGAGAGGAAAGAAAAGCAGTCAAGTCTCAATATTAACAGAGGAGGGATAAAGTGGGCTGGTTAACACTGCCTGGTTAATTTGAGCTGGCAACATATCTGTAGGGTGTTGTAACAGCTTCCCCTTTTTTATACCTCATGGTCTGTTATTCCATGTTACAGCAGTGCTGGGAATCCCTTCTGAGGCTCAGCCCATCAAACTCATCACACCAGGCACTATCCTTGGCTTCCAGTGCTTATATCCTAAATAAACATGGCAAGTAACACATCACACAACACAAACGTGACACTGGCCGCTCTGCACGGGGAAGAATGGGAGCAGAGGGCATTAATTTTGGGGGGCACTGTCACTTGCTTGGCATAATAAGGACTTTGCTCAAGTGAACCTGTTCCAGTGACCCTCCCAGGACACAGATGTACTGAGCTAGTTGGAAAATCAGCCTGGCTGGGCTGATTATTGTGGTGAGAGAGATGTGAAATCTGGCAAGTTGAAGAGTTTGGCTGTCCAGAGGTCAGTCCTGCTCCCTGATTACACATGGCCCAACTGCTCTCAGTCTCAGGAGTTTACATCCAGAAAATCTTGTACTTGCTAATCTGGGCTGGGAAATGCCAGTGAAATGACTCGAAGCAGGAAATTACAGGAGGTAAATTCTGTAATACTTATCCAGATCCAGACTCACAGGGTCAGACTATGAAATGACCAAGCTAAAAATTCTCTGGCCTCTGCCACCCTCCACCCACAGGTGTCAGAGCTCTTTACAAGCACCACATTAATGACTGGATGTGGCACTAAAGACTGGACATGGCTCTTAGTGCCACGGTCAGGTTGACAAGGTGGTGAGCAGTCAAAGGTTGGACTCTATCTTGGAGGTCTTTTCCAACCTGATTGTGATTTCAGCTAGAAATTTCTACCCTCCAGCCTTTGTATCAGAGGATGTGGCATCAGAGGGGAGGCAGGTGCATGAACATCACAAGGAAACACCATGAACGTTATGGGGGAACCTCCTTCACTCACCCCACACGTTTTTTTGTTCAAAGTCAAGCACACCCACCTGGCTGTGGAATAAGCAGATTCACTTCCCTGCCTCTCATGGAGCCACTGCAGGACTCCCAGCACGAGAACATATTAAATTATGCAGCTGCACAGCTGAATCCCACAGTTACAGCACAGACAACTGAGACAGCAAAGCCTGTGTGTGGTGACCTCTGGGTGCTTTAATCTCCAGAATATAAACAAAGGGATTATTTCTTTCTCTAATGGAACCACCACGCTTTTCTTGTAATCTCACTCAAGTGCATCTTAATCCTGCTCCTTATCAAGGAGCCCTGCAATCCTCTGCATTATCATTCTTACAGGGGGAATGGAGATCAAAATAGTCCAGTGCATAAAGAGGTGGTTTGGGCTTTCAGTGCCCACACACCTTCACCTTTATGCACCCCGAGAGCACCAGGGTGTTTCATGTGTTCACACATTGACATTTAAGCCTGGAAAGCCAAGTGAAAAGGTAAGACTGGCTTAAAAGAAAGAAGTGCAAGATTTCTCAGCCCTGAGGTGGGTCACTGCAGACACATGTTAGTGCATCTACTGCTCTGCAAACAGGAAAAAGCAAAATTTGCTGACTTGTGCTGTGTTTACTCCCCCACACACACCTCCATTTAAAAATTTATCTGTAATCAGAGACACCACAGGGAGCTATTGTAGTATACTTACTATTTAATGAGTCTGCAGCATACTCAATATTTAATGTTTGCATAAACATCTCCCCACTTTTCCCCCTCCTTGTGCTTCTACGATCCTGGAAAAGGAGCTTGTCATACCCACCCCACGGGACAAACAGCAAATTGTCTGGTGGCTTGAGAGGAACCTGAGGAGTCTTTAAGTTACAGCCCTGGTTCCACCACTTACAACAAGAGGTTTTCACGCTGGGCTTTACTCACACACCTCACAGAAATACCATTTTTCTATCTGCACTGAGCTCCTTAGATGCTGTTCCTCTTACTGCTTCAAGGAACAGAGTTAGGAACCTAAATTAATTTAAGCTGCAGTTTGATACACAACATATAATTGGTTGTATCTGTACCACCTGCTATAAAACCCTAAGTCAACAAAATAATGCCTCATGTTGCTGCTCCCCAACATCCCCCAAACCATCAGTGTATGGCAGGGAGCACACGGGACTCTGAACCAAACCAGGACTCTTTCTGCTGGAAATGATGGATGGAGGACACTGCCATCCTCACATTCTTTGGATCTACAAGGCAAAACGTGGCTGGAAGCAACTTCCAGACCACTCAGTCATGCAGCAAAGTCAAATTATGGGTAATGATTTTTGCAGCCTGGCCCACGATCCATTGGAGGCTCCGGTCTCGGTTTTATTCCCACAAGCTCAATTCCTGAACCCCAGCTGGGGGGGGGCAGAGGTGTTTGATCAGCCCAGCTCCCTTTAATGTGATTTCTATTTCAGAACTGGCTCTTTTGATGCCCTCGAGTCTTCCTTGGCAATATCACCTGTGGCCCGATGTGACAGCAATGCTAAATTATATCTTGATGGCTAATTAGGGTAATTAAAGTGAAAGTAATCAAATCAACATAATGAGCAAACTCCTAATAAAATGCCAAAAAAATCTCCATCCATCATAGAGGGGTTTTTTTTTTCCCTCCTTTGAATGTCAAGGAACGCGGAGAAGGAAAGAGTTGGGCTTCAGAGTGGCCCTGGCTCAAAGGGACATTGCGAGGCACGGAGCGGGCTGTGTTTGTGGTCTCCCGGCAACAGAGCGCCCGCTCCTGCCCTCCCTCCCTCCCTCCCGGCTCGTGTCACCTCAGCCCGGCTCAAACCTCCCCAGCTCCGCTCTCCAGGACCCACCGCACCCCCGGGCTCGTCCCCCCCGCCTCTCCCCGCACCCCCGGGGGTGCCCCGAGGGGCCCTCACCTGCGCAGGTGAGGGATGAGCCACAGGAGTCTCGTCTGTCCCACCGCGGCGAAAGCTGCAAGTTCTCTTCTCCTTTTCCGAGGCGAGGGGAAAAGGTAAGCGGTGGGTGAAGCATCGAGGAGCGGTCCCGTGTCCCCCGTGCCAGCGGCTGATGGTCAAAGGTTTGTCACAGCGGGGTCACAGCCCGGTGGGAGCCCCGACTCATCCTGGATGGTCCCTGGGCAGGGAGCAGTGCCCAGGGTGCGTGGCCGCTTCCCAGCCAACCTTACCTGGCTGGAAACTGAGACCCTCCCTGCTGCCTCCCCCTAAAAAACCTCGCAGTGCCCAACCCCTGGCTTTTCACAGCAACCTGTGATTGCTCATGGCCCTCAGCTGGAAGGAGGTAAAGCAGAAGCACCTGTGCTCTGCAGCCCCTCAGCTGCTGTGTTTCTGTCAGAACCCTGCCCCACAGCCCCTCACCTGCCGTGTTTCTGTGAGAACCCTGCCCCACAGCCCCTCACCTGCCGTGTTTCTGTGAGAACCCTGCCCCACAGCCCCTCACCCTGCTGTGTTCTGTCAGAACCCTGTCCCACAGCCCCTCACCTGCTGTGTTTCTGTGAGAACCCTGCCCCACAGCCCCTCACCTGCTGTGTTTCTGTCAGAACCCTGCCCCACAGCCCCTCACCTGCTGTGTTTCTGTGAGAACCCTGCCCCACAGCCCCTCACCTGCCGCGTTTCTGTCCCACAGGCACCAGCCCTGTCGCATGGGTGATGCTGCCCGGTGAGGGCCCCGGTGCAGAGCATGTCCCCCGAGGAGCTCGCCGCCCTGCTCTGTGGGGAAGGGGACCAGCACCTCGCCCAGCAGGACTTTCCCACAGCCACTGCCTTCTACCTGGCTGCCTTCAGCTGCTGTGCCCCCACGGCGGTGCAGAGAGTGAGCTGCATGGACAGCGGGCTCCAGGAGCGGCTCATAGCCACTCTGGAGAGCTGGTGCAAAGGCAAGGGGCAGATTCCCAGCATCCAGAGCAGGCACCTGGCCGTCGTGTCCCTCAGCGTGGGAATAGCTGCCATCTTCCTGTCCGCCCTGAGCCCCGACAACGTGGTGTGCTCGGTGTACCAGCTGGAGGCCCTGCTGCGGCGGGGGTGCCCGGAGGAGGTGGTGAGGCAGTGCGATGCCCTGCTCCAGGCGGGCCCAGGGTGGCCCCTGGAGCTGCTGCTGCTGAGGGCCTTGGCGGCGGTGCTGTCGGGGACGCGGCTCAGGGACGGGGTGGCGGGATATGTCCAAGCCTTTGCGCTGCACGGGGCCGAGGCGGTGGCCCATGTGTGCAGCAGGCAAGGGGAGCACCTGCCACGGGTCATCCAGGCCTTCTGCAGTTACCTCTCAACGTGTCAGGAGGAAAGCCCAGACTGCAGCTCCTCGGACCAGTGGCTGGGCAACTGCTACGGCTTCCTGTCCGCGGTGGCACCGGGGCATGTCTGGGTCTGCAGGCTGCAGGCAGCTCACCTGCTCAGAAAGGGCAGATTCCAAGAGTGTGTGGCCGTTTGCACCAAGGCCCTCAAGGGTTTCTCAGCTGATCAGCTCAGAGATGAGGCGGCTTTGGGTCTGCTCTTGGAACGGGCTGCTGCCTATTTCTCCCTGGGTGGATGGATGGAGGAAATGGTGCAGGATTTAGCAGAAGCCTTTGCTGCAAACCCTGCCCAGGCCAGGAAACGCTTTGACGAGCTTTTCTCGCCACGTGACGCTGAGAAGATTGAAGAGCAGGCCAGAACTGTCCTGGAGGTGAAGTTTGCAGCATACAGGGAGGCTGTGCGGGCTCGCACCGAGCTCAGGGGCAATCATGGGACTGAACTGCTCCCTCCTGTCATCCAGACCATCCAGCTCCTCCTGCAGCTCTGCCCGGCATCCCAGCGGGAGCTCAGAGTCCGGCTGGCAGACTGCCAGCTCCTGCAGGGCCACCCCGGGGCTGCCCTGGCCATCTGTGACCAGCTCCTGGCAGCAGAGCACAAAACCTACCACAACACCCTGCTGGCACTGAGAGGGTTCTGCTCCCTCCACGCCCAGGACCATCAGCAGGCCCTGCAGGACTTTCAGAAGGTCATTGAGCACGATTCCCCACACCCCAACAGCTGCATTAAAGCCCTGTGTGGCCGCGGGCTCATCCGCATTTCTGGTGGCAGCTCCTACCTGACAGCCCTGGATTACATCACGGCCTGCCAGCTGAAACTGGAAGAAACCATCTTCACAATCAAGTCCTATGTGCCATGGAACCAAAGGGGACTGCTGATGAAAGTTCTCCAAGAGGAAGGACAGAGGATGCTCCAGAAGAAGAGGTACCCGGGGGGCAGTTCAGTTCATATTCAGAAAAAGAAACAGCGCTGGGCAGATTCCTAACCTTGAAGGTGGCTTGTTTTGTTGTTTTTTTCCCCTCCAGAGATGCCCCTGGTGTTTTCCAGCTGGCCTGTCTCTTGGTGGAGCTGGACACTGCTGATGAGGCCTCGAGGATCCTCTGTGCTGATGCCCTGTACCAGATGGGCCGTGGGGAAGAAGCCCACAGGCTGCTCTCGCTGGCCCTCTCCAGAAACCCCCAAAGGGCTCCTGTCCTGGCCAGGCTGGCACTGCTGCAGCTGAAGAAAGGGTTTGTGTATGATGGGAACCAGGTAAGGAGGACCTGGCAAAGCTTCCTCTTCGGCACAGGGTCATTCCCTGCTGAACAGCTGCGTCTGCCTGGCTCAGTACTGCTTGTCCCAGACCCCAGTGAAAGTACAGAGTCATCCTCGTGCTCAGTGCTTTGTGTGCATTGCCCTTTCATAACTGAACTTTTGCTGTTAGATGCTCCAGGAACAGCAACAGGGAGAGCTGTTCAACCTCTAGTAAAACTTTTCAGATCTAAATACAGGCCTGAGATGCATCAGAATCAGAGGACTCAGCTAAATCCAACCCCTTCTTCTCATGCTCTTTAATGGCTCTTTTCAGCAGAGCCTTTAACCAGGCAGAGCATGGCTGAGCATCCTGCCCCTGGGGACAATATTGTGGGATGGGTCATTTCCCCTGCAGAAAAGGAGGCAGAAGTGCCACCTCACGGATTATCCTAATGAAGCACTGGAGGGGAGGGTTGGGAAAGGCACAAAGCCTCCAGTATCAGTCTGCAGTGTTCTCCCTTTAATGTTTGTCCTTGGAACCCTGGAAGACAGTCCAGCATGTTTCATTCTCCTGCCAGGGACTGCAAAGCTGAATTCCCAGGTTCTGCCATCAGAGGGAACTATTGCATTTTTTAAAATGCCACGTAAATGCTAACCCTAAAGAGAAAGGTTTTACTGTCACCACTTCGCTACTCCCTGTGAAAAGTAAAAGTTTGGTGTAATTTGCTGCCTTTGGGAAGGCTATTAATGAGTGACATGGCTTTATTATATGCTGCCCTTGGGAGTTGGATTCCTGTCTGCAGCTTCTGCTGCAAGTTCTACATGGGAACATATGCCACCAGAAATTTCTCTTCAAAATGTTCTAACCCCACCTGCCTGTCAGAAGCCAAACACTTTTATCTATTAATGAAATAGAGAGTAATAACCCCAATGGATGTGTCTGGTGCATCAGGATAACTTTGTTCTTGTCCTGGCTTGCCTGGCTCAGATTTGAACATCCAGTACCTGCTGGTTACTATTGAAAACACCTTTTGATTCATTTCCATAGGAAATGTAGTAAAAATTTGCTTATGAATCTCACTGCAGTAAATGGAGGCAAAGATACCACAAGGCAGGCAAGATTCTTTTCCAGGAGGAAAACAGTTTGTGGATTTGAATCCATACTTTTCCCAGATTCCCAATAACAATACTGAAAAAAGGCACAGCACTTCCCTGACCTTCCATTAATTCACCAGTTTTGATTGTACAGTCAGAAGGGGTCACTGGAATCCTTCTGTTCCACAGAAGGGTTCTATTTTTGGGGCAACCCTCCCGTGGTTCAGCTGGGTTTATACAAACACTCCTCTGCCACTCTGGAGCAGATGCTGCCCAAAGTAAACCAGGCAGCTCCAGGTATTTCCCCACAATTGTTTCCACAGCTGGTGTGGTGCTGAGAGAAGATAAGAACTGGTGTTTTCTCCAACATGCATTTACACCAGAGCCAGCTGAGGAGTTAAATGTGAGATTCATGCCCTTGGCTGGACCGTGGCAGGGAGAAGCCCCAGGGGAGGGTGGGAGAGTGCGGGGTAAGAGCAAACTGGTCTCAGCAGGCAGTTTAACACAACTTCACATCTCCTCTTTCAAATCTTCCTCTGCTGCCTTTTTCTCTTCCACTGTTAAGCTGCTACAGAGAGTGATCAGAACTGGAGATACCTCCTGCCTCCTGCCCATCATGGACATTTTCAAGGATGAGGACAGGAAGCTGATGCAAACCCACTGCCATGTCCAAGCACTGGCCATCCTGGAGAGCCAACAGGAGGATGTTCACATCAAAGAGGCCATTGCCTACCTGTCCTTTGCAATTATTGCTGCAGGTAGGGCATCAGGGTACCCATGGAGATGGACTTCCAGGGGAAATCAGATCAGTGGGTGGGGCAGAATGTCCAGCCAGTTCTCACCTGCCATCTCCCCATTGAGAAGACTGAAATAGCAGGGTCATCTGCACCGTGAAAAGGTGCAATAAAGCAATAAATAATAAGTAAACAATCTGTGAATTCCTTGAAATGGGTTGCAGGTGTTCAGGTCAGTTCTACAGGCACGTCAGCCCCTTTTCTTCACCTGCCAGAAAGCCCAGCCTGTGCAGTTCCAGTGCAAAGAGTGAATGCAGCCACTTCCATGGCATCACTGTCCCAGCTTTTCCTGAGGAGAGAGATCAGGCTGGCATGGGAATGCTTCTGGCACGTTCCAAGTGAAACCATGTTTGTATGGAAATCTGCCTTTCACTCTGAGCAAATGTTATGACAGCAGCACTGAGGAGAAGAGAGACTGGCTCATGAAAATGGAAAAAACCCTGTTAATTGCTTGGAGATGGTTCCATTTCGCAGCCCGTGCATTCCAGCTTATCAGCTCCCCACCTGCTAGAACAGATGCTTGTTGAGAAATAGAGATTGTCTTTCCAGGAGCCAATTGGTCGAGCTCCAGAGTGATAATAACCTTTGGTACAGGGGTTTTGGAGCATATCAGGCGGGAGAAAAAGCCTCATTACTGTAAGAGAATTGCTTGGAGCCTGTCTGCTGGCTCATCTCTGCAGGCAGCTGCATTTGCTGACCTCCCTATGAAAACATATTTCCAGTGGCACCGATGATTTATCATCCAGTATTGGGATGCCACAGTTATGGATTGCAACCCTGGGCATGTTAAGATCCTTATTGAAATTGCCTTGAAAGGAAGGGCCATGTGGATGGCAGGAAGATAAATGCTCTGCAGTCAGGGAGTGGATGGACCAGGATTTTCACTGTCAGCTCTATGTGTTTATTTGGGCAGCACTTATGTGAAAGAAGAGGGGGAAAAAAAGCAAAAAAAAAAATCTCAGTATCCCAAATCCCAGTGCATATTAATTCTGGCAGGGAATTAGTCAGTCCCATCTGGATTACTCATTTGTCCCAAACAAAGTGTACCTTCCCTGCCCATGGCAGGGGGTTGGACTCTTTAAGGTCCCTTCCAACCCAAACTGTTCTGTGATTCTGTCTCCACTTCATTAAAACAGCCAAATGACTTTGTGCCTCCACTCTCACACACCCACAGATCTCCTTCTTAGAGCTTTTTCTCTCCTTTGTGCAGCTCCTATTCCAACCTGACATAGATTATTTTTCCCTTTCAACTCAGAACCGAGAGTACGAGATAAGAATTCCACTTGCAGCAGAAATAAGGGAAACTTCCACTTAAGCCCTCTCATTGTACTTCCTCAAGCATCCTCAGGCAAAGTGGAATTTTCCTCCAGCTTCCTGTGGGTATCCCCGAGTAACCACGGCTGCCTCCCTGTGCTGCAGGTGGTGGTGCTGGAGATTGCCTGCTCAGCAGGGCTCGGTGCTACGGGCGCCTTGGGCAGATGAAAACTGCTATTTTTGATTTCAATGCCATCCTGAGGGAGGATCCCAGCAACGTGCAGGCTCTGAGTGGCAGAGGATTCGTTTTCCTCGCCCTGAGGCGGCAGAAGGTACTTCCACTGTGCTGATTTCCTGGGGGTTGTTCTGAGGGTATTAAATGACATCAGTGCGAGGCATCACAGAGTTTGTCCTGGGCCCACTGAATTCGAGTTTCTCAGGGAATTTGGGCAGTGAAAGGCTCTGGTTTTGGCTGGGTGTATAAGCAGCCCACCTGACGTTACTGATCTGTTTGTTTTCCCAAGCCTAGGGAGAGGAAAGCTAAACTTAGTCACAATTTTCCAGTGATAACCCAAGGAGTTCCAAACCCTTTGCAAACAGCCATCCAAACCTGCCATTATGCTCTTCTGCCAGCTTTGCAAAGGGAAAAGATGCAGGACAAGGACAGGGAAGAGCAAAGAGTTTCTGTGGGATGGCAGAGAGCTGAGAGCACCTGAAAGAACAAATGCCCAGTATTGAGTTACTGCTTCCATGTCGTTTCTTGGTGTTATTTTTCCATAGGAGGCAGTGCAAGATTTGATCTCAGCGCTGAAGGTGGAGGCAGAGGCAGTGATCCCAGCAATCCTGTCCCTGAAGGGTGAAGCCCAGGAGCTGATCACTGGGTGGCTCCTCCAGCACGGCAGGGCTGTGCTGACCCAGCTCGTGGCTGCCAGAGACACCTCGACAGGAGAAACCCTCAGGGACCTCCTCGTGATTGCAGGAGCACTGATCAAAATCTGCAAGGCTGCACAGTGTCACATCTTCTACACAGATGTCCTGATTGCAAGTGGTGAGTCCTCTCAAGAGGAGCTTGGGAAAGTTTTGGGAAGGAGTTTGAAGTAATTAACGCCTTTAGGTGTGGACTGTGGACAGGCTTCCCAAATCCTGCTGCAGTGAATTTTCTTGGTGTCTCTCCTGCCATGGAAGGGGTTATGTAGCTTGTGCTGGTGTCACCCAACAGGGAGGTGTGAGGAGGCCCTTACCCATCTTCAGGGAGCGTTTGGCCACTGCCCCACAGAGGACTTTGCCAGGGCACGACTGGCTGTGCTGCAGCTGAAGAGCAGGGACGTGGCAGGAGCAGCTCACTCGCTCAGTGCCCTGGCCCAGAGAGATGAAAGGGAGCTGGAATTTCTCCTGAACTTCGTAGACACCGAGCAACAGCAGCAGCTCGCTCAGGTACAGTCCTTCTTTTGATCCACACCCCTGGATTCAGTGGGGAAAAATGGGAGGCCAAATTCGGCTGTAGCGATTTTTCCCTGCCTTGTCAGTGGGAAGACTTTTATATTCACATTTGTATAACATTACTGGCCTGTGAGGTTGGTTTTCATAGCTAAAACTATTTGTCACCTCAATGGCACATTGCTCCAGTCCACCCAGATATGTATTATTAGGCATTCTTTCAAATTTCTCCCCCAAAGTCCACCCAGCTCTGAGAAAGAATCTCCAGTAATAAGGCAGGAGAAGCTCAGATTGATGGTGGAGAGTTTTAACACTCAGTCAAGCATCTGCAATTCTGATTACCCAGAAGCTCTGTGTTCTGAGAAGCAGTTTGCTTCCTTTGATTCAATTTGGGGCTGGTGAGCGCCCTGGTGAGAACTTATATTGTTATGCTCTCTCCCAGGTTATAAAACAAACAACATGCTGACACACTTAATGCATTGAGGGGAGTACTTGGGATGTATTTTAACAAAACAGCAGGAGGATATAAGTAAACAAGTATTAATTTACCAGTCCCCAGACATGCCCCATTACAGAGAAAAGAGCCCCTCTCTTCTAAATAATGTAAAAAGTTCAGTCTTGTGGGGGAGAGTTTGAAGGTTTCAGAGCCAATTTGCAATCTTCCACTTTAGAAAGTTGATAAAGGTACAACTGAGACTGTTACTGTGGAGGCCCTGAGGAGGTGTCTGTAAATGAAGATACATTTTGCAGCTGAATTTCCCTTGCTGCCACATCACTCCCTTAGTGGGGAAGTCTCTCAGCTAAATCCACCCGTGCTGCTTTGTGAGACAACACAGGAGGGATATTCTTATGCTGTCAATAAGAAAAGAGCAAAGAGAAGAGGAAAAAAAAAAACCAATCCCCAAACTACTTTTTCTATGGCTTAAACTGCACTGATGTGTTAGAACCTGCTGGTGCCACAGGTGAATGAAGCCTTTCAAATGGGAGAGGCTCTTTGTTTCTGTCTTGAAGTAGAGAAATGAAAGATTTCTGTGCTAACTTGAGAGAAAAGGTGTGACAGGACTGATTTCAAAACTGGAACTCAATACCAGTGTCAGAAGTTTAGAAAGAAAACATTACTCTCTTTTATCCTGGGCTTTTGCTCAACTGAGTAAACATTTGAACTCAAGCACCTGGGTCTTTTTCTATGTATTTTGTGACAAAGGGATGAATGTTTTCTCTCTGGGGTGGGGAAGGAGTTGGTTAATTCACCTGCCTGGTGTCTCAAAGCCTTTCCCAGCAGCACTTCCTTTTGCCTGCAAGGTTACTCCAGTTCGGGAGTGAAAGGAAGATCTCAGTAAAAGCAAAAAAGCAGCTTAATGAGAGGATAAGTACCAAACTGATGGCTTTACTTTGCCAAGGCTCCCAGCCACACTCTGGGAGAGGCTGCTCTTTCTGTCACCCCCATCTCCCAGGTGAGGAGGCTGCAGCAAAGCAGAGTTCAGTGGTTTACACCCAGCCCTCAGTCTCAGCCCTCCAGCACAGAAGCATTTCTGCCACAGTGTTTAAGAGTGTTTGGAGGTTACAGAAACGTGTCATCATTACCCTGGAGTCCGGTCTGAAAGGCTAAAAATAATCCCCCATAAGCTGAATAGGAAAGGGTGGAGGAAGGAGAGAGCTCCTTGATGTACTCAGGTTTTTCATGAAAAACAAAGCAATAAAATCCTCCCATTTATTTATAGTCTGAGGGGTCCCATGCTAAGAAATTTGTAAACAACTGGGAGAGCCCCATGGGAATAGGAATCTGAAAAATTTATCAAGCTGCAAAAGGTCACAGGAAGGGAGTTTGCTGCTGCTGGTGCAGCTTCAACCCCAGCTCCTCACTAGACCCTCAGAGCTGCTCGGCTGTGGACATGCCGTAGGATGTCCAGACTCCTACAGAAATGGTTTCTAAAACTGAATGTCACTAGGGACTGGAACCAAAAGTGGCACCAAAATATGCGTATTTTCAGACCTTTATCACTCAGTGAGGTAAATAGATGGAAAAGAGGGACACAGAGACCCAGGAAGCCCAATCCCCAGGCATGTGTGCTCTGCAGAGCCCTTTCCAGATGGCACCACAATTATTCCACTCTGGAAGCCAAAATCAAACATTTAGTGACAAGTTTGAATCATTTTTTTCCACCAAGTCTGGCAGGAAGTGCAGAATCCTGTGGCTTGCTCACTCTGGGGACTCCCAGGGAAATGTGAAGAAGTGGAAGCAGTGGCTCAGTTAATAAATGCAATATTTTATGGGTGCAGTAACCCAAAATGCTGCTGAAAACTCGAGCATTAGATTAGTCACCCAGCAGAACAACAAAAATTGCATTTTCTTCTACCTTTGAGACAACAAGTGCATTTTAAACACTGAAAATGACAATTTAACTACACAAACACGAGGTATTTTGAGGAACTGCACTGTGTTCTCTGGAACAATGTGATCTAGAACTTTGGAATTTCTAGGGGAAAAAAACATCTTCTCTTGCCAGCTGCGATTCCACCTTGATCCCTTGTTAAAATCCTGCCACTGAGGAAACACTTGCATTGACTGGTAGTCTTAAAAACATTTCAAAGCACAAACTGAACTTGCTGCTCCTTAAATGTATATATAGATATCTGAGGCGTGTTTGGACAGGCTGCCTCACAATTTACAGCCAGAATTATTAAAGCCAGGGATTGACACTACCTGGGGAGAGGTCCTGCTGCTAGTTCCACGTGTGGAAGCTGAGAGACTCTCTAATAAATATGACTATATAGAGGATTTTACATTCATATAGCAAAATAGCAAAATATACATATATTATTATATATATTCTATGTATTATAACAAAATAACTGGGGTAGAATTCCTCACAAAGCATTAGGAGTGGCTAAACTATTCCATGCCACTGCTCTCACATGAGGTGCTCAGACCTGTGATGAAAATATTTATCCTTTGCTTGAAGCATCAGCTTGTTTGGCTCAGCCCTTTTTAAGACCTCACTGCTGGTGGCAGCCTTGTTTATAACTTAAATATCCACTCTGCTGCAGTACCTTAAAAGCTTTATTTATTACCAATAAAGGGAAATAATGAGAAATCCATTTGAGGCAAATGGTTCTAATGGAGTTTTCTTTATTGACCTCCCTGAACCGAAAAATTATGTGGCTCTTTCTGCCTTCTCTATTCTCCTGTTGTTGTTTCTCCCTTCAGACAGGGGCAGAGAATTCACTTGCACTCGAGATTAAGGATTAGCAGAGACATCAGCTGGCCTTTTTATCCTCCAGCTTGGGTAAACTTCAGTAGAGACCAAAACCTTTGTTGCTAGCACGTGCAGATATTTGTGGGGAGGTTGGTCCGAGCAGCTTTTTGTTCATCATTCCTAAGGAACGTCAACAAGCTCCGAAGAAACTCTGACAAGCTTTTAGGCAAACAAGCAGAAACAAAGAGGAGGGGGGTTCAGAACCCCCCGAGATAACAGCAGGTGATCCAAGCATTTCACATCTGCGGGCAAAACCAGAGAAGGGGGTTAATTCTCCAGCTGGGTGCAGCTGCAGCTTTTGAAGAAGCACCTGAGCTTTCTCAGTGTCTGTGTGCGTGACCAGTCCAGCCCTGCTTTTCCCACCGAGCGTTTTCCCGTGTTTCTCCCTCAGTCCCTAACACGGAGCCCCTCTGTCCCCGCAGGTGGCGGCCCGGCAGGGCCAGGCGCTGCTGAAGGGGCAGCAGCTGGAGAGGGCCCTGGGCTACCTCTGCCTGGCCGTGGTGGCCAGCGGGGCCAGCCCGCGCTCGCTGCGCCGCAGGGCCGCCTGTCTGCGCCTGCTGGGGCAGCCCCAGCGCGCCCTGGCAGACCTGGGCACCCTCATCCAGCGCCACGGCTGCCACGGCCCGCGGGACCTCTGCTCCGCCGGCCACCTGCTCCTGGCCATGGCCCGGGACGACGCAGCCGTCCAGCACTACATCCAGGCCCTGCAGCTCGACCGGGCGCTGGCCCTGGGCAGCATCGCCGAGTGCCCTGGCACCGAGCCCGTGGCCAAGGCCTTCCTCAGAGTCGCCCAGCGCAACCTGGAGATGCGGCGTTACGAGGAGGCCTGGAGGGTCACGGACTACGGGCTGCAGATCCAGAAAGACACCCAGCTCCAGAGGCTGAAGACAAGGCTGAAGCGAGAGGCATCGGGCTGCAGCATCCACTGATCTCCCTGCTCGGGGATTTTCCACCCTCCGCTCGCCGGTATCGTGTGTTTGTGAGGCTGCAGGGATAAGGGAAAGATGAGAAGCTCGTGATAAATATGCAACAGATGTGGCACTGAACAGGATGAGAAGTAGAAAGTTTTAGGTGGTGAAACAGAACCCGATCAAGGGAGCCATGAGGAAAAAGGAAATTGCAGTATTCAGGATTCTTTTGAAATTATTTAAAAGTTATTGTGGGTTATGTAAGCTCCCCCTGGGGAAGAAAGCTTTCTTCTGGCTAAACTGAACTAATTCTAACACAGGGGTTCCAGTCCTAGTGAAGGAAATCATTCAAATGGCTTGCAGCTTATGAATAATAATCATGCATTTCCATGACACTTGATTAGCTTTAACACATACTATTCAATTAAGTGGCCTTATTTTTATGGGCCAGTCAAAAAGATCAGTCAAAAATAACTTCTGTCATGTGTTTGTGAAGGCCCATGTGTGCTACACCCCTCTCCTGACCCACTCCTGGATGGAAGGCTCTGCCCTTGTCAAACTGCAGTGGATTCACAACAATCAGCACCAATATTGGGCAGTGGAACAGCACAAATGGCAAGTAAACTGTTTTACTGGCCCAGGGAACAGTGAAACAATAGACAGAATGAAGGATGAGACTCAACAAAGATGAGACATCCAGTCCTGGGAGTCCTGCCCTGTTATCTGGGACACACAGGCAGCCGGACTCCAGACATCACCTTGGCTGCCAGATCCTGTGTCTCTGTTTGCCAGAGCAGATAAAGGGAATAATCTCTCTGTAGAGCTGTCTGCCAGAGGTGCTCAACCCCATCCTTCACACTCCTGGATATTCAAGCACCAAAGCTGGAGCATGAACTCACCAGGAGTGCTCCATGTGCAGCAGGGGCTGGAGGTGCTGCTGCTGGGGCTGCTCTCAGTGCTGCAGGACTCCCTCATCCCTCACCATCCACGAGCAACAGCACAGGAATCGGCCTCTGCAATGCTCAGAAGGGATTTGCCTACTGTCATGTGTGTGGTTTCATCACTGGTAGGGACAGGTGGACTTGGGGGCCCCCCAGATTTAGTGCTGGTACATCTGTGGGGGCTCACCTGTGCCATGGGAACCCTCAGCTCCGGAGGGTTCCCGCAAAGGAAACAAGGTGGCACCCAAAATAACCACCTCCTCTATTTGTTTTGACTTCTCCAAGCGACTTCTGCTGATGTTTTTGGAGTGTGATAATACAGCCATGGAGAAAAACAGAAACTACTATTGAAAACAAAGATCAAAGCAACGCTGAGAACTGCTCTCCTGCTTTGATTGGGATGAAAGGGAAAGGGAGCCTTTTCTTTTTTGTTATATTGTTGTCTCAAAGGCAACAATCCAGAGTGAAACTTCATTCAGCAGCCATGCAATCCACCCCATGGCACTGACATCATCTGTAACCTTCCATCCCATTTTCCTTCTCTGTGTGTTCTTTTGCTGCCCCAAGAGCACAGCTGAGACTGGGCTTCTTTCCCTTCAAATTCAAGAGGAGTTGCTTTGATTTTAATCCTACTGACACTGAGGAGTACTTTTCCCCCCTTTTTGGCATCGAGATGCTGCTGTTTCCACTTCTTTCAGATTGAAGAATCTGGCTAAAAAAACCTGCAGCGATCGTTTCTGTGTGTTCCTTTAATGTTAAGCTGCAGTTCCTGGAGATTGTGGAGCTGTTTCCAAGTGCTCTGAGACCCATCCCTCACTCTGTGCATGCAGCCCATGGTTGAATACTTAGAAAAGAGACTCTGTATAGAGAGTCTCTTTAGTGCTTTAGGACATACCCTTATGGCTTGGTGCTGTAAATGTTACAAAACTGTGAAGAATTCAAATATATTTATATGAATCAAGACTAATGTAATCAGAAGGGAATATAGCCTAAAAAATAGGGAAACTGGATGCCTATTTGTAATCCAGCTTGAAGCTGCAGTCATCCCAAGGAAAGATTAAATACCTGTAGTTTATTCAGCTCAGAGCTCTGTACAGACACTACCAAACAATTCTTTGCTCTCCATGAATTTGGTTCCTTTAAAATATCCTGCAACCTTAATAGCACAGAGGACTTTGTTGTGCATCACCACCAGGTAATGAATAATGAAAGAAAACTGAATTCATGGCTGAGAATGCTCCTACACAAACAGTTTTGCCTCTCTGAAGTATCCAACACTCCTTCTAAGTACATAAAAGGAAAATCAGATGTGAGAATATTTGCGTCACAAACACGGTCAGACAAAGTTTCCTGACCTCATGCTCTGCAGTCCAGCAGGCAAAGAACAGCTTAGAAATGATGGCAAAGTGTTTGGAATCAACTATTCAACTGGAAGCTGTTCCTTGAGTTCAGACAGAGCTGAACTTTGAGCTTTTGTGATCTCAAAAGGTTTGATTTCCTCCGAAATCCAATCGCTCCCATTTATTTTTCCTATTTCGCTTAGTTATGCGCTCCCGGGCACTGAGAGAGTCTAAACACATCAGCCAACTCCTGCAGCTGCTTTAGAAGCCAGCACACCTCCTGGGAATTCGTCTTCCTGACTCTCAGCCTGAGCTCCCGAGCTCCCCAGCTCTGGTGGAAGTGCGGCCCTGGCTCGGGGCCACCAAACCCAGGCACTTTAATGAGCTTCCCTGCGCCCCAGTGAGGACACTGCACTTGACTGGCAGAGGCAGATGTTCCACTGTAATGACAGCTAATCTGACAGCCATTCCTTTTACTCTCATTTCCCTGCAGAAGATGAACTGTGTTATCATGGCACTGCTGCTGCATCGAGCAATTTCCAATTTGCCAGAGCCCTGAGGAGCCGCTGTCACCATCAATTTAATGTGTCACGTGGAATTATCACTGGCTTTGGAGCCTTGGCTATTTCAGTTGTATTTCAGAGAAACTGGTCTGTGCTGGAATCTGCTGGTTCAGTTGGCCATTACTGAGTGACACCTGAAGAAAAATGGCTTGTTCTTTAGCAGGCACAGCATCCCAAAGCTGTGGCATTCAGAAGACTCTTTCTCCTCCTGCTGTGTTCTCCAGGAGTGACTTTTTCTGTGGGATGCCAAGACATGCTGCAGACCTCACCTGCCCACAGGTGTGTGCAGCTCTGACTCCCCAAGCACAGCAGCAGTGGTTTATTTGCTTCCAGAAGTGCAAAGGGTAGAAGACAAACACAGCTGGTATTGGTGTTCGTGGCACTCAGAAGGTGGGGATATATGAGGGCAGGGGAGGAAGGAAGTGCCACCCAAATGGCAAGGTTAGAGAGCATGAGCCAGTCCCAAAGTATGGCAGCAGAGAGTGGAAAACAGCCATGGTTACAGTGATGTTATTTCTGTTTTCTCACTGAGAGAGTGATGAAGGCCAGTCCTGGCCCACCCTGATGTCACAGCCTGGTGCCTCTGACCCTGTGGGTGCCTTACCTCAGTACAAGTGTGGAACCTACACATCTGAGGCACTTGTAACTATTTAATTTTCAATTCTCTTCCCTTCCAGAGTTTCTCTTGGGCACGTGCTGCATGGCCAAAACCTCCCAGCCCAGTCAGTTTTGTGTCTGCATGTTCCCTGCACAATTCCAAAAGGGCAGGAGCTGCAGAGAATAAACGAGCATAGGAACTTCCCCAGGGACTGTAAAGGAAATTAAGAGCAGTATCTGATAACCAGTTGGTGCATCTCATTCTGAGCTGTGTCGCAGTCAATGAGAAAAGGTAGCTGCAAAGCCAGAAGGGGATTGTAGGAGGGAGCAGGGAGCACGGGAGGATGTTGATGATCCCTCTCCAGTCCTGGAGATTTCCATTTTGTTGTGCCCCTCAGCTGTACTTCCCTCTCCAGGTCAGAGCTGCAGATGCCCAATGCCAGATACCAAGCACACCTCACCCAGTGTGAGGTACAGGCACCTCCAGTCACGAGGGAGCCCCAGGTTTAGATCCAGATCAGTAGTGGATGAAATGAAAAACTGACAGGGGTGAGTATCTTCCCACTTAAAATGACCATCTCACCGAGCATCTTGATTGCTCAGAAACCTCAGATGTCCCATTGTCAGACATTCCAGCCCTGGTAATATACTCACTGTGTTCTCTAGAACTCCCATTAAAATCTCAGATGATTAGGAACACCTCTGAGTGCCTGTCACGGTGTAGGGTTTGTTCTTTCACTATAGAGTTTCACAATAGAGACAATTATACCCTGCCATTTTCTTACTTTTTGCAGCCTTGCCAACAGTATTTTTGTGATGTTGTTTCTTTTCTTCTCAAGCATTTGTCCATTCTTGGGCAATAAAACCTACTTACTGAAGTAAACAGGTAATTAGCCATCTACATAAATTACCCTGTGTCTACACCATTAATGTGTTTGGATGTTTTAATTGATTGCATTCTCAACTGGTTTGGATGGCTTAAATGCCAGCTAATGCAATCCAATTAAGTCCACTAATAAACCTGACTGATGAACTGCAATATAATCACACATCAAGCAGAGATGTGGAGGAAAATGCCACAGAACTGACAGTTTAGAATAGACTGTGTCATTTTGAAAGATCCAAATCACTTCTCAACAGGGAAACTGGGAAAATTGACTCTAACTGGTGCTGGAGTTGGTCTTCAAGACACCCTTTAAGCCAATTTCTCTCCACAAAACATTTTTGTGGAATCACAGAACAGCCCAGGTTGGAAGGGACCTCAAAAGACCACATGAGCCAACCTGTCATGGGAAAGGGAGCCCAGATGAGATTACCCAGAGCCCTGCCCGGCCTTGTAAATCTTGTAAACCTCCAGGGCTGGGGACTCTGCCACTGTTCCAGTGATTGATTATTCTCACTGAATAAAAAAAATCATTCTTCTTCATATCAAGATGAAACTTCTCCCAGTGCAGCTTGCACCTTTTGCCCTTTGTCTTCCCCGTGCAGCTGGAGAAGTATCAGCTTGATAATTGTCTCCAGGGAGCAGAAATGCAAAGGAAATTTTAGGGGATGTGTGGGCCTCTTGATAATATTATTCAAACAAAACTAAATGAGGCAGCAGGAAGTTAAATAAACTCATACTGGAATATGATGTGAACTTCCACTAGTGCCCCACAAGCAACTTGCTTGAAGATGGTGCAGTGTCTTTGTGTCAGCTCTGGAGGTCTCTTCCTAAGCCCAACCAGAGGTTAGGGATTTAATGGAGCAATCTGTGTGAAATTCTCTGCTCTGTTCTGCCAGATGCCAGACAAGACATAATAGCTCCTCTGGCATCAGTGCCTATTAATCTAATCCTGACTTTGATTCTCTGTGTGACTCCCTTTCATCTGTAAAATGGGGATAATGCTCTCTTTCAGGAGCTTGTCAGCCCCTCTCAGGCCTGGGTACAGAGCGCTTTGAAGTCGACATTATTTGTACATTTTACAGTATTGTCAAAGAGCTACAGATTGTCATCAGCCCCTGTCCCAGGGGGTGGTGCTGGTGAAGGTCACCCCCTGCCCTGTGCCTGACACCCACTCGTGTGTCTGTGCAGCTGCCCCTGGCACAGACCCTCAGCAGGGGCGGGGGAACATCCCACACATCCAGTGCTGAGCAGCTTTGCTCTGGTGACAGTGGCAAGGGTTAAGGAGTGATAAAGACATTTAGACACCTTGGCCAGGCAGGGCCCTGTCTGTCTGAGCCTGAGTCTCTGCTGTGCAAGGAGCCCCCGTGTCCCTGAGCTCCCCGTGCTGCACAGAGCTGCCCCTTCCCAGAGGGCACCACACACCCACCAGCCAGTCCCTGATGGGAAACTCCAACCACAGAGGGGCACCTGGAACCCAAATCCCTCTCTGGAGGGCAGCCAGGTCCCTCTCTGCATCTCCAGCACCCACTCCTAATCCCAACTTCCAGGAGTAATGGCCACAAACTAAAGCACAAGAATATCTTTCCTTGGAAACAGGAATTCTTTCTGCCAATTTAAAGACCTAAAAACAGTGCATTTAACGGAACAGCTAAAACTACGTGCTCAGTAAAGGAAAACAAAGTAAAATATCTTCATTTTGCTTGTAATCTACCTTCCTGCACCACAAAGCAAGGCAAAAATACGCCTTTTAAGCATTGTGTTATTAATAATGTAATTGCAATACTCATCACTGCACTGAAATGAAGTGTGGAAAGGAGACACTGCATTCCAGAAGCCTTCCTGCCATAGATACCTACAAAACCTCTTGGGGGGAAAAAGTAAAGCACATCATGGAAAATGAGGACTTCCCTAAGAATTAATTGCTGTAATAGAAGAGGCTTTGCTAATGCTAATAAGCAATAAATGCTAATAAGCCAGGAAATCACCTTGTCCACTTAAAGGCAGCAGAGCTTGTGCCTGCTACACAGCCTGTTTTCAGTCTGGGTGTAAAATCAAGTGATTCCCAATATGGAAAGGGTTAATCTCCCTGAGAAGTCTCAGCATTTAATTCATTGGGCACTGGAAGCCACCTGTGTGTGAGCGAGTGTTCAAGGGAAAGAGAGGGAGATTCAGGGCAGCACTTTGCAATTCCATCACTGGTAGAGGCATCAATGCTGAGAAGATGAACAGGCATCTGTTTCCGACTGCCAGAAAGCACAAACACTTCAATTCCACCCCAGAAACTACACAAGCCACCTGAACTCTGCAGCTGAAAAACATCCTCCACGAGAGCACGGTAAGACACCTTCACCTTTTTCCTGCTTGTCTCTGCAGAGTGCATGGATTCAGAAATCCAGGGCAGAAATCCTTGCTTGCCTTTCATACACAACAGCTCTGATGTCTGATGGGTTTTTGCTCTGGTGATGTTCCAAAGATGCTCATCTTTAAAGGGAGGGTGAGAGAAGAGTTCTGAAACATCATCTAAGCTTCAAGGTTTTCCCAATTCTAATCTGTTTCAGATGTGCCTCTACCAGCACTTATTTCCACCACACACAGCTGGGAGCCAACCAGCTCTAAGAAGATATTTCAGTGCTGGGTTTTATTTCCTTTATGCTGCTTGACAGATGACAGGGTTACACCGGCTCCCAAAGACAAAGCCATTATTTCTGAGCACAATGAGTTATCCTCTGTGCTCAGCAGCCCCACTCCAATAAATCACAGGGAACATCCAGCCATTGTCCTGGAGCAGGGCATGGTGCTGATTTACTGGGGCCAGGCTCTTTGGTTGGGCTTTTTGTTTTAAAGTCACCCTATAGCTTCAGATTTTCTCCCCTGTTTAAGGTAAATGCGTATACCAGCCTCATTTATTAACAATGGAATAGTGACACTGCTCTGGTTCCTAAACAAAACCAGTGATGTTGAGAGTGGATTCTGACCATGTGTTACAAATCTTAGTTCAGGTAAGCATTCCAGTTCAGATTAATTCATATAAGCAGAAGAAATATATCTTTGTGTAACCTGAACACTGGAACACAGACCAGGACAGATTAGAGCTCTCTTTCCACACTCGTGGTTCTTTGTTGTGCTGAAGCCAAAGAGGTAAACAATAAAAGAGGTTTTGAGCAGTCTCTGGGGAGTTTCTCAGCCTCTCACACTCACAGGAGCTGGTCATTTGGAACCTGCAGCTCACGTGGAAGTGATTCCAGAGCTGGTTTTGCACTTCCCCTGACACAGGACCACCTAAAACCTATTTATGTGGGACTTTTTTTGCACAGGCAAAGGATTCAGGGCAAACTACAACCCCTGGCATGCAGAGGTCTGTGATTTCCCCTCACATCTCAGTGTGGATCAGTCTATAAGGGGTGTAGCACACACAGATGGAGACCTTGTTTCCATGGTAACAACACTTAAGACACATCTTACTAAAGATGCTGCCACGTCCTTTGGCTGCTTTAGGACACTGAGCTGTTGGCACATTTGATGGAGCTGTTTAATACCTGCAGGAGAAGCCCAGAGCTCTGGCTGGGAAATCACTGCCCTGCTGGGCATCCCTGGATTTCTGGGAGCATTCAGGGAGCAGCAACCACGGGATCAGCTATTCAGGTGACCCAGAACATTCAGCTACAGCAATACTGAGACTAAAGACTGTGCAAAACCCCTGGATGGCAGGGAACTAAATGAGGTGATATATCCTCATAGACAAATGTCAGATGTATAGAAGAATATTGGGTAATATATTCTCATAAGCACAGAGCTTTTGAGGCCCAATCTCTCATGGGAAAGCAAACATGCAGAGGAAGAAAAATGAGCAACTTGTCACAGTTTTTATCTCCAGAATCAATTCCTTCTAAAGGAAGAGTCGCAGGTCAACTCAACATTGTGGAAACAGAGACAAGCAACCAAACTCTTGAGCAAGGTAGTATTATCCTTGACCACTCCCTCCTCCCAGTGCAGTGTCCCAGGTATAGCCACGGTTATTCCAGGTTCTCCAGGGGAAATATGAAAAGAAAAATATCCAAATACAGTCTCCCAGGCAAGTGAGGCACCAGCTCAACTGTTTGCTGTCCAGGGCTGGAACGCTCCGACCATAAATTCCTCCCAGACTTGAGAATTTTTTCCCAAGAAGAAAAGCAGGGCATTAAACTCCAGAGCAGCTCCCTCTCTCTCTTCAGGAACCACGGTGGTTCTGTGTGCCTGGGGAAGCCTTATGCCTGAGGAAGCACCTTTTTATTAAACATTCATATGTGGAGCCCTAAAGTTCACAGTGAACACATCCTAAAAGCAGGCAGTCATCCAGCTTGGCTGCTCCAGCCCCATCCCTCCAGGATCCAAGTGTAAAAATCTCTGATTTGAGGCTTTTTCCAAACTGTAACCCTGCCACTGGGAGCTCCTTCCACATCCACATTCCAGTAACAGCAGAACCTCCTTCACAAAGTTACAAACTAAGCAAAAAGGGAAAAATCCTTTCAAAGCAGCCCAACCCAAACAGCAAACGCCTCATTGCTTCATCTGTTTTGAGTCCACGCTGCTCTGGGGAAAGAGGATGTTTTCCAAGAACTGAAAACCCCCACTGTTCCTCAGTTTCTGCAAGAAAATTCCCCAGATCAGTGTTCACCTTCTCTGTATTGCAAGAGAGACGATGCTTTTTAAGCTCCTTGGTAAAATAAGGGCTAATGGACTGTGGAGTGGGCAGCAGGTGAAAGACCAGCACATGAACATTCAGCTGAACGTGAGATTTAAGAAAGAATAAATAACAAAACAACCCCATTCCACTTTGCAGCATCAGGTCTCCTCTGCCCCAGAGGCTACAAGGTGATCCTGAGAGTGTCAGAAACCAAACCAGGTCTGTCCCCTTGGAAGCAGGGACCAGAACAGGGACCTTGCTGCACTGCCAAGATGATGGATTGCTCTATTTCAGTGACCACACAAAGCTGCTCAAGACAATCAAAATTAATGATTCTGCAAATATGTCCTTTACAGTTGCTGCTGCTTCTCCTCACATAGAAGGGTTGTTGTGTTTGGGTTATTGTATTTGGGTTGTTGGTTTTTTTTACTTCCTTACAGCCCAGCAGTAGGAATAAGGCTCTTGGATTCTTGGCATCTTGACTCTGCAACTCCAAAATGGGCAAAATAATACCCTGCAGTATCTTATAGCCATGGTACAAGAATAACTGCATTAAATCTCAAAAAATAGCTACATTAAACCCTGAAACACCTGCCTATTGCAGTGCTGGGGACCTCAACCAGGTGGACCCTCCTCAGAGCCACCCTCATTGCAAGGCACCAGTAAAACTGCTCAGCAGTAAGGAAGACTCACACACACAGGAAACAAGCCTTTTTTAGCTGTGGAACTTTCTGCAAGCAGAAATGAGACGTCATTTACATCTTCACTAAATGTATAGTTTTGTCCCTAAGAGCGACCTTGCCTTCTGCAGCTCTTTCTCCCATATGGACAGCCAGGATCTGCACGTGCCTCTCAGATCCCTGTGTTCTCATCCTCCTCCTCAGCTGGTGGGATGAGAATAGCTGCCTTCACACTCGACAGAAGCCTGAGATAACATGACTCCTGAAAAAAAAAAAAAAAAAGCAAATTCTCATAGGGATTTTGAGGCAGAATCCTGACTGGGAGAGGACACTTGGACTCCTGGCAGAAAAAACTGGTGTTCATTGTTTCCTACCCTTGGAACACTGTGTGTACATTCCCAAATCAGGGCTGCCACAAAGGAATCTGCCCTCAGCACCTCCTCCCGGACCCACACGGGACTGGGAGCGCAGGTCGGGAGAGGCACAACCTGACCACTTATCCAGAGCGAACTTCGGCACTCAGTGACAAACCCCCCCAAACACCCACCTGCTTCTGCCTCGCTCCAGAGCCAGTTCTGGGGAGGAATAAAGCCAACCCCAAGGGGAATCACATGCCTTCCCTGCCCTTTTTTCTCTTTCCCGGTTGTAACCAGACGGATTCCCAAGCAGCGGCACCAAGGAGCTGGGTGCACTGCCTACAACCCCTATAAATCCTCCCGTTCCCAACACGAGCGTTCCCACGCAGAGCCGCGGCGCTCTCGGGGCAGGAGGGTGTCGGTGGGTTTGCCACCTCCCCTGTGGCATTTCAGGCACAGCAGGGATTTGCGGGAAGCCGGGGGGACTCTCGGGAGAAGCCGCAGCAGCTCCGACCCCTCCTCCCGCCGCTGCCCGGGTTTGGGATCGTTCCCATCTCCCGGAGCCGGGAAGGGCGCACGGCTGAGCTGCAGCTCCGAGCATGGCTCGGGGGGCTCCGAGGGGCTGCGGGGCACGGCCTCCTGCGCACCGGAGAGCCCACGCGTGTCCCGGGAGCTTCCCACCCTCCAGACCCTCCGCCCGTGCTGGAGACCCCGCTCGGAGGCACCGGGAAGGATCCCGGCGTGGATTCCCCGGCTGGTAACGGAGCTCCTCGGACCTACCCGGAGCCACGGGAGGAATTCCTCCCAGCAGCAAGAGACTTTCAAAAGTGGGGAGTGGAAGGCGGCAGCTTTCCCCCTCCTTCTCTGTTCGGGAGAAAGGAGCTGCCCAACCTGGTCATGAGACTTTTCCACACTTCCCAAAGAGGCTCCTGAAGTTCTGGCGCTGCAGCACTGAGAGCCCCGGGCAGCCAGTCCAGCACAGCCCCCCCGAGGGCACACACAGCTCAGGAGATGGAGAATGAGGTTGGCAAATCTGTGGACAATCAAATGGACAAATACATGTAATAATTTGGAACTTTCCTCTCTCCCTTTGCTTTTTTTCTGCTTCCTTTTCCTCCCTGCTTTCTCCTGCTTTTACCCTCACGCTGATTTAGCCGTGCTGTTAATTCTTTCTTACCCTCCCCTCCCCAATTTAGAGTTACAATAATGGGGAAATCAGAAAGCCAAATGGATATTGTGGAAAAATCAACGAAGTCTGGGAAGAAGCCCTGGAGCTTTGTGGCACTGGGTCTGGCTGTCCTGCTGCTCCTCATGACTTGTGCCGCCGTCGCCCTGGTGATCCTCTATGCCAGCAGCAGAGGTAAGAACCTGGGAATGATTCTCCTCTTCCCTCTGCAAACAGCATTCAAGTCTATTTTTTTTTCTTCCCAGAGAGAAATGAAAATAAAATTCCAGGGGGGACAGTGAAGTCACCTCTGTGAGGGCTGTGGCTGTCTCTGCCTTGTTCCCAGCCCGTGCACAGGGATTATGTTGGATTTTAATTCATTTTTAAATGGTGTGATGTGAGATTCTGTGTTTTCAGTGAATTCTATGGGTTTTGTTGAATTCAGCATTGTTTTGAGAAAGATGCTGTGCTGTTTCAGGGGGAGGGTGTGTGTCTGTGTGTAAGGATTGATAGTTACTGATTTTATAGAAGCACAAGCCAAGATTCATCATTGTCAGGATTTTTTAAAAGGAGCAGCTGCTTTAAAACACTTTTTATAACAGTCTCTCCAAAGGGGAAATCGCTTCTTACAATCTGAAAGCTTTAAAATCAATGCCACTTGCTGCTGAGGAAAGGAGAGACTTTTTAAATATTCCACCAGGCAGTTGGATCTCTGAGTGGGATTTGGTTCAGTGACTTCAGTGCAAATGTCTTGCTGACATGGAGGCACCTTATTTTGAGGTGTTCTGCCTAAATATTTCAGCTGCAGAGCACACTAACTAAAGCTGAAGTTTTCCCACCAGAACACCTACTTTAAAATCCTGTGAGGCACCAAATGACTGGGAGCAGCACTGCCTTGTGTTTGTCATCTCCATTAAAGCCTCTTGGACTCACATCTTTGCTAAAACACCAGAGCACAGAACTAAAGGAGAAACAGCAAACCTAGAGCAAGGCACTGCTGTGTCCTTCCCCTGTCTCTGCATCCCCTGCTGCAGGGAACTGCATTTTCAGCTCTTGGAAGGGAAACGCTGCACGATTCTGGGCAATAACTCATGGGAAAAGCCTTTTGATTGTTCACTCCTTTTGCTCCCAGCAGTGGAATGTCAGGTGAAATCTGAGCGTTTGGTATTCATGAAGTTCATCAGAGAAGTTTATTCTCTCAGCTCAGGAGGTGGGGGGAGAGAGGAGGAGTTTCTGTATCAAATACTGAGCTATGCAGGGTTTCACTGCCTGGATAATCCAGGTGTTAATATTTAGCCACATATTGGTCTCATCCAAACCCAGGGGAAGAGCTAGTGCTAACCACATTTGTTTACTGGAAAGTTTCTCTTCGAGAGAACAAGCCTAAAATCTAAATATTTTGCATGCTTGTCTGGCCAGTTAAACTCTCCCTGGAGGTGTTTCCCAGGTTCAGACATTCCTGGGCAGCAGCAGTGCCAGGCACTGCAGGGCTGATGTGCTGCTTGTCCTGGGCTGGTTCCCCCCAGCTGAGCAGAGGGGGTTCAGCTCTGACCCAGAGCCCCTTTGTGCCTCTGCTGCCTCAGGGCACAGCCAGCTCACCCAGGGCACAGCCAGCTGTGGGCACAGCCAGCTGTGGGCACACCCTGGAGCAGCCACGGGCTTTAGGAAGTTCCAGGTAGGGACTGAGCAGGAGAATCTTCACCTTTTCAGCGGGTGTGTGCATGCCCTGGTTGGGTCTAAAGCTGGGGCAGGAATTGCTCCTCAGACAGTTCCTGCAGGACAAAAATGTTTCTTTTTGTCTCCAGAAGTTTTGTCCCAGTGCTCCCCTTGGTCCTGTTTCGCTGTCACCCCTGGGCCCTCTCCCGAAGCTCAGCCAAGAGCCTGAAGTCTCAGACTCGCCCAGGGAAAAGCACTTATGGCTCAAAGCTGTGCAACAAATCCCACACAGCAACAGGAAAAAACAGTGTGGCTGAGCAGCATTCATGTGATAGAACCCAGAGTGTTATCCTGGGGTTGTTCCATTTCTAATTTCACTCAAATGTTAATTTTGAAAGGAGAATGGGGCACTGGATTGTTCACTAAGAGCAGATTCAGATCTGCCACTTCATCTCTTGTACATCCTTAATCACGCTGACACTACCCAGCTTCTAACAAATAATTCTGTTTAGCTAGTAATTAGAAATTAAATTAGCAAATTAGATCAGAAAAATAGAAGGATTACCTGTCCTGCCTTACATTATCTCTTTTTTATATATAGAAAGGCACATATAGGCCTTGTGGTTCAGGAAGACTATTTCTGTTCTGCCTGTACATAGCTCACAGAGGAGCATTGTGGTGCATGAAACAGCCCCCTGGGTGCAGCAGTAATTCCTGTAGTGCTGTTAAAGCTGACTGGGATTTTTATCTCTATTCCCAGCCAACAAAAACACTGAAGCTCTCACAGCAGTGCAGTTATACAGTCCTACAAGCAGCCTGGGGGTGCTTGACATCCAAGGAAGTTTTCATGCCCAAAAAGACTCATCTAAACAAGCTAAAAGAAAATGTAGGAAGAAGAGAGTAATATTTGGGTGATCACAGCAAGGGAAGCAGACAGGACTGAAGTCACTGGGTTTGGACCTGAACACACCACACTGTCAGTCTTTCCATCACACCCACACGTTCAGCTCTGAGCCTTTCCACAGCTCCCTTCCACAAATATTTACCAAACTCCAAATCTCAGCACTTGTTGGAAAGGTCTGAAGAACATTTCAACACTTATTATAGCTGACACGTCAAATCAGTCAGCAACTTCTTCAGGCAACTTAGTTACCAACCACTTCCATCCTCACCTGATTGCTGGTCCCGTAATATCTTGTTTCACTGACATTTTATTCACTTTTGGGCTTCCAAGTTCCCCTCTCAGAAGTCAGACTCACAGACATTCATTTCTGTGTGTCTGCATCCCCTCAGGTTGTCCCTACTGGCAGTTGGGAAGCTCAGGGTCATGCTCTGCTCTGCCCTCTTAGGCCATAAACAGAGAAGAATCCAATTCTTGGTCTAAGCAACACCTCGCCCTGGGGGTTTACCAAAAAACCACATTTTTCTCCTACACATCCTCTGCTGTCAGTGTGGGTTTTGTGCACTTGAATAACAGATTTGCACAAATCTGCTGACCAGGAGCAACCTCTGAACTGGGCAGTGGCACTGTGATATTTGGGTGGCAAGACCCTCCGCAGTCCAAGTCAGATGGAGCTCCCTGGGTTTGTTGCTGGGCAGTGACAGCCCATGCAAGGCAAACAGTCCTCACTGATTCCCACATGGAATCCTGGCTCAGCCGTGCCTGAAATCCTGAGGCAGGTGGAACCAAAGCAAACACTGGTGTTCTGGGCTCCATTTGAAGACCCTGACACCCGGCACAGCCCACCCTCTCCGGCAAAGAAAACCTGGATTTGGCAGCAGTGCTGTTTGTGGCAGACAATTGGCCGCTTGAGCAGCCAAAAGAGCAGGTTGCAGCGCCAGGAGCGCTTCTGCAGAGGAGTTCTGAGGAACAGGGAAGGTGCTGGGAGGTAAAGCTCCCACGTAGTGACAACTGTGGCTCTAATTGTCGCCGTGTGTGCCATCCCCAGCCATCTGTGCTCCTCCGAACGCCAAACACAAGCTGTGAGCTCCAGAGCCCCACGCAGAGATTTGCTTTGCTCTCGTTGTCTGAGAAGGAGCCTCAGTCAGGCTGTGAAAAGCAACCTGTATTTCAAAAAAAAAGAACCAAATAAAAATAATTGCCATTCAAAAGCTGAGCTGCTGCAGGGGCCTGCAGGGCTCCACACTCCCAGGAGTCATTCTCACCTCCTGCTGCTGGCCAGGGAATGTGACAGTGTCCTGTGGCTTCTTCTAAAGGCAAATTGAGACAAGAAAAATTCTCCCCAGGGAGCCCAGAGAGGTCTGAAGCACGTCCCAGCTCTGCCATCTCTCAGGTGAGCAGTTCACCTTCCAAGTAGCATCTGGAGTTCTTAATTTCCCTCATTTTCTTCCATTTGCAGTAGTCCCACAGCCAAGGTCATTTTATTTAGCTCCATTAAAGCTTATCTTCCCTGATCAATTCTCTGATGGTGCTGTATCAGACTGAAAGGGATGGTTATCCAGCTCAGTTACAGCTTCCCAATCCCCAGGGCTTTGGGAAGGGAGGGATTCTGAGCCTTGCTGAAAGCAGTTGGGTTCCAGAAACTGGAGTTAGACATTGTCAGGTCATATTAAAGAGAGGAGCTTTGACTAAAAAAAAGTGAATATAAAAGAAAAAAGGCTTCACTTGAGTCCTGCCTGGTCCCTGAGAAACAATGAGAAGCACAGCATTCTTGTAGAACAGGTATTTCTGTCTCACCTTTGCTATTGCTCCTTTACAGAGAATTTCCATCTGCCTTTGAACTACTCCTTTCTTTTCTCAAAACTCTTTTTTTTTTTTCTTGAAAATACCCTGGGCTTTTAGGTTTGATTTTGCTAATTGTTTAATTAACAGAGAGTTTAGGAAATTCCAAAAACTGCACTTTGCTTCATCCAGTACAAAAAAAAAACCACCCCAAAGCCCTGACAGAAACACCAAAGAGAAAAAGCTGAACCATCTAATGTGAAGCTTCACATTTTTAGCCATATTTTGCTCATCCCATGTGGAGGTTGCCAGACCCACAAGACACACAGTTATTCTCATGCAGATGTGCTCAGCTGGGCCCCCATCGCAGTGGGGGCTTTTTATGTCGCTTCCACTGATGAACTTCAAAGCCCTCTTTTCTTCCCCACTGTTTCATTTCTCTCTGAATTACTGTAATCTTGTTTGCTCTCGTGTAAAGCACTTACTTTCATTGAAAGGAATTTCCTAGTAACTCTTTACTGCAAACATCCCAGTGTAAGGATCAAAAAGAAGTCCAAAAAATGGCTAATCCTGTTGGGAAGTATCAACTTTTGTTTTCCAGTGTGGAACCAAGTAGTTGTCTATTTAACAGAGGTGGATATGAAGCTAGCCCAGTTTTCACAAATGGTAAATTAAGCCATTAGAATTAATCTCCTTCTCCAAGGGCCAAGGCCATCCCCAGCACACACATACTTCCAGAAATAAAGATCATTTCTTTTTCCTGATCTGATCTTGATGACTTAGAGCAGTGGGAAAGCAGCAATGCAGCTTTTCACCCCCTGTTTACATCTCTTGGTCACGATGACTTTGGAGATCAAGAGAGAGCTGAGATGCTCAAAGCATCTTAATAGATTGTCTGGAAAGGGACCTCAGAGTTTGAGTTTGCACCAGAAAGTCTGTGGAGGCAGCAGGTAGAAAAAGATGGTCTAATCCTTTTTCCAAGGGAGTTAAAACTCACTGCCAGTGCTGTTGTAATGCTGCTGCCAACAAATTTTCCTCATAAATCTCCAGATGAAAGATTTCCCCGCAGTTGTCAGCCGATGTCTCTGGCTCTGATATTCGCTCACTTCTCTCAGACCAAGCAGAGCTGTCACAGTCTGGGCTCTGGTGGCCAGTTCCCTTCTGAAACAGCTAATTCCATCTGCTTTCTCCCTGCAGGAACTCACTATGGCACCAACTCAGGCAACGTCTGCACCACCCCTGGCTGTGTCACGGCAGGTAACGGGGTCGCTCTGAGGGGTTATTGCACAGGGGGTGTTTTATGGGTTGGTGCTGGACCTGAGTAAAAGGTAATTCAGGCTTTAAGGCTGAAGGAGATGAAAAGGAACGAGATTTCCCCTTGGCCAGGGGGTATCATCCGTAAGGAAGTAGTACAGGAAAATTGCCAGTGTGGCCAACAGCCCTCTGGCCTGAGCCACAGGGACATGGGCTGGCCAACAGTCTGTCCCTTAGTGTGGTAAGAATCCCTTTAGAATGAATTCTGTCTGTGAGTGCATCCTATACATGGGGCATTCACCTTCTTCTTTTTGGCATCCACACCTCAGGAGAGGTGGGACCCCAGCAGGGATGTTCCCAGTTTCCCCCTGGAACACTGGCTTCTCAGGCAGGTACCTGAGCTGGAGCACAGGGGAGCCCTGGGCAGCACCCCCGTGCCTGGAGGGCACTGTGCTGTGGGAGAGCTGTTCTGCCACTCAGAGGCATTTTCAAGCAGAAAATGGGATCCTTCAAGCCCTAACACATGGGAATGACTCTTGCCAAGCAGCTCCTTGACAGTCTTTGGTAGTGCCAGAGACCACCGGGCAGCCTGTGGGATTCAGCTCTCCAATTTTGGTACCCAGCTGCCAGAATAATCCAGAACATGGACCCCACAGCTGACCCGTGCCAGGATTTCTACCAGTACGCCTGTGGGGGCTGGCTGAGCAGGCACATCATCCCAGAGACCAGCTCCAGGTACAGCATCTTCGACACCCTGAGGGACGAGCTGGAGATCATCCTGAAAGGTAGGAACTCCATCCTTACACACTTGTGTTTGGTTTCAGGGGTTATTGGCTACACACTGCACAGAGAAATGAACCTGCAGAGAGAAGTGTGGATTATGATTTTTTTTTTTTTTCTCTCTGGTCCTTTAATCTCTACACCTCTTACTACCCCCATTTTGCAGGAACATCCTGTTCCCACTAAAAATTAGCCATAGGTGATCTGGTACTAACTTCAAAAGGAGCAGGACAAGCCTGCACATCCTTCCTCCTGACACTTTTGCCATTAATAGCTCCTCTGAAGAGCTCTCCAGGCTCACAGTAATTGCAGGCTACAGAAACAAGTGTTTATCATAGCCCTGAATTCTCAGGGGTTACTGTGAAATGATCAAAGCTCTCCAGGGCACAAATCTCATGGCAATGGTTCCTTCCCCAGGTGTGCTGGAGACTTCAGATCAAGGGGACAGAGAGGCATTTCAGAAAGCTAAAATCCTTTACAAGTCCTGCATGAACGAGAGTGAGTCCCTTCTTGTTCCATTGATCCCCGTGGTCAATACTGAATGTACAGAAGTGCCAGTGTTCTGCTCAGTCCACTCAATATCTGTTTAATCCATGTGGACCCGCCTGGAAACTCATCCTCAGATGGATGAACATGCCTGGCCACATCATTAGGGCCTGAAGTGCACGTTTGGGATGTGGAAAGGATGGAGGTTGGGTACCCACCCCTGGGCTGGGGCAAAACCTTCCCTTCAGAAGGCACAAACCTGTCCCACTTCATCCTTTCCAAACCAATGCAGTAAAGGTCAGCACTGGAGTCTCAGAAGTGCTGTCATTGCTTTTCTGAAGACTGATGCAGGGGACAGATGGTTTCATGGTGTCTCTTATTTTGGACCATGATAAATTCAGCTTCAGATTTGAACTGTTAGGCCCATTACCTGTTTTTCTGTGAAAACAATGCAACATTTGTCTTTCCTCTCTCAGGCCTTATAGAGCAGCGAGATTCTTTGCCTCTGCTGGAGGCCTTAAGGATGGTTGGAGACTGGCCAGTGGCTTCTGCAGACTGGAATAAGACCAAAGGTAATGCTGGGCCTGAAAGGGTTCAATAATGTGCAGTCAGAGTCATTTCCTGCACTAGGGGGGCCACTGTCAATGAATTAAACCCCCATTTCCAGCTTTTCTTCATGAACAAGAGTCAGGGGGTCACCCATATTTAACATAGATATGTATAGAGAGAGAATTAGAGCTAAACAATTTTAGCACAGCAAACTGCACAGCTTCAATCAGTCCTGACACAGATGGACAAATGGTGTTTGTTCTCCCTTTCGTCTCCCAGAGCCAAGCTGGAGCATGGAAGAAAAGCTGTCCATAATGAACTCCAGGTTCAACAAACGTGTCCTCATCGACATGTTCGTGTGGAACGACGACAGGGACTCCAGCAGACACATCATTTATGTAAGCCAGAAATCACAGGGCATTATTTATATCCCAGAATCACAGTGGACAGTTATTTACACTGCAGGCAGATGAGCTTTCCATAGCACAGCACTGGCCAAATGCAGGGAACAACCAGCTCTGTACCCCAAGTGACAGATCTGTCCCAAAGACATGTCAGGAAACGTTTCATGGCAGCATAATTATTTTTTTTTCAGTAAAATGAATAAAAATCAATGGAACTTTGCTGATTTACAGCATTTAAGGGCTGTAAATTCTTGTGACTCACAAAATGATGGTGAGGTTTAATATACAGCAGGAAACCCTGGGTCTAAAAATGTAAATAATATTTCAGAGTTTGTTCATGAATGGTTCTGCAGGAAGTCCAGCCCTCAAGTCAAGCAACTTAGAAAAGTTGCTTAAATTTATTCTTGGATCTCAATGGGGACTGAAAGATTTTGCTCAATAACTCACACCAAGATCCATCCTGTCCTTACCTAAAAACCCAGAGACCAAAGTTGTTCCTTCCATCTGCCCCCAGTCCTTAGAGAGCTGAAGTTCTCTGCCTGCCTGGCTGCTGTGCTGTTCCAGCACTGCAAGGATGGAACAGCATTTCAGGTTGCCTCTCGAGGATTCCTTTGGACAGCCCCTGTTCATCCCTAACCAGAGAAATGTGTTTTCCTTCAGATTGACCAGCCAAGCTTGGGAATGCCATCCAGGGATTACTACTTTAATGGGGGCAACTATCAAAGGGTGAGTGTTCCTTGTAATTTATTTACTATGTGCCACTAAAACAACTTCACTGTGCTTTGGAAAACTCAAATATGTGAATCTTCAGGGCATGTAACAATCAGAGTTAGATTGTGACATTCATTGCTACATTTTTTCCTAATTATGCCAAAATTTTGTAACATTTACAAAAAGACTGTACAAATATCAAGCCTCCCCAGAACCAGCCAACCATGAAGAATATTATGGGGAAATAAAATCACTGAACAGCCTCAAATTCTGAAGGGCAGATTCACATTTTCAGTGCAGGTTGTCTTGGATTCCCTTCTATCTTCCTCTAAATCCACTGATTCTCAGCTAGTAAGAATCTGCTGCCACCTACTCTCCCCTTTCCCCAGAATTACAGGAAAATTGTGAGAGATGATTTCCTGGCTGTTTTTCTCTGCCAGTGCTCGGGGCAAAAGCACTGATTGTGCAAAAACACTGTTTCTGTAAATACACAGAAAGCTGTTGCAAACAGAGCCAGATAATTTATCTGTTTCCAAGATGAAAATACTGCTTTAGTACATTGCATTTCCCTCAATTATGTCATGCTAACAAAGAGTATTTGCAGCCCAACATCAAACCAATTTTCCTAACAAGAATGGAAGGGAAAACAGAGGGACAACAATCAGCATTTGAGACTCTTTTGTCTCGTGGTTGTAAAGGCAGATGAAAACATCAGTGGGAAGAGATTGCTTCTTCCTTCAGTGTGTTTGACCATATTCTCATGCAGAATAGAGCTTGGACACAGCCCTGGGAGGTTTATACAGCATTGTTTCCACACCTTCTGGGCACCTTTACAAGATGCCAGCTCCTGATCCAGAACAACCTCCTCGTAGCCGTGTTGGGCACTGCAGGGAGCTGCTGAACCAGGAGTCTGTCCTGCAAGTGTCACCTGCACAGAGCAGTTACAGCACAAAAGAGGGATATTCACGCACTGGCTCATGGAGGTCAGACATAGATCGACTTGTGGGAGATAGAAAATCAGGTACAGTGCAGAGACAACCCCAAATTAGCAAAAGAAAACCATCTGTGCTCGATACAGCTTTAATTTGAAGCCATAAACCAGGGGCCAGGCTGTGTCTTTAATCCTAATGACTAAGGAGGAGACACAACCCCTTTTTATTTGCTATTTACCAGCTGGCTGCCCCCAGACAATGACCCAACTCTGATGACCCAAACTCCCCCTGTGCTTAGTCCAGCATCCTTTGGCAAAGCTCCTCCTGAGGCCTGGGGGAGTCTGGCCTGATTAAGGGCTCAGCCTAAAACCACAAATCATCGTCCTGTAAGTGCCCAGACACAATTTCACAACAGTTGCTGTGTTCATCTGGATTCCAAGGTCTGTGGAGGAAGAAAAGTGTGCAAGAAGAACAGGTAACATTAGGTTTTCCTGTATCAGGGATCAGCACTCCCTCAGCAGCCAAATCTCTTTTCAAAGCCCTTTCTGGGGCATAAATCAGCCAGAACCTCCCACCAGAAATAAAGCAAAGGTGTCACTGGAACCGTCTGAGACAGAGCCTTTGTCTCAGTCAGCAAAAGCAGAGTTCAGGAGATTTATGGTATTACTTTCAGAGAATTCAAACCTTCCACACTTACTCTGGGATTTTGGCTGGTGGGGATCACTGTTCCCACAGAGTAACTTGAGTCATGGAGCCTTCTCTTTGCTGGAGCAGCAATTCTAACTCAGAATGCCCCAGATGGATTGCACAGGGGAGCACAAAGTGTGTTTTGAGGCTGGTGACTGCCCTGTAGGGCATTCCAGGATGAACTGAGCTCCAAGCTGCAGCAGCAGTATCTGCCATAGGGAAAAAGGCACTCAGTGCTGTCCACACCCCCTGTTTGCCACGTGCAGGTGAGAGAGGCTTATCTGCAGTTCATGATCACCATCGCCAAAATGATCCGGGAGGACAAGAACGTGTCCAGAGATGATTCCTTTGTCCAGGAGGAAATGGCAAAGGTGATGGAGCTGGAAACAGAGATTGCAAATGTGAGTCCAGAGACTGAGGCCTCGGGGTGCCAGGGGGGTGAGGGAGGAGGGGGACGGGTCTCGCTGTTTGGGCAACAGTTTTCGACACAGCACAAAGCCCACGGCCTGAAAGACAGGGGGAAGAAGACTTTTTGTGCCATGAACAGCCCAGAAATCAGTGTCTGCTGTGTCTAAACTGTCTGCTGAGCACACTGCTGTGCTGCTCCAGTCCTGGCTGTATTTATGTTTGGAATTCTTCTGCTAAACATAGGCTGTGATAACACTAGGGCTCCCTCCCTTTGCATCCTTAGAAATCTCAGCCCCCTAAAAATCTCCCAGAGCTTGTTCTGCCATTCTAGAGGACAGAGGCAACCACTTGGCTCAGCATATCACTGAAATGTTATTGAATAGCAGGGACCAGAGTTCCTGCACTGAAATTTAGAAAGCAGCACTGGGCACCATCAAATGAGCTTCCTCTCTCCCCAGAGAAATGGTTTATTTGCATGTTATTTGAGTGTTCGTTTGTGCATATGTATGTGATTTCAGCCATTGATATTTCTGTCAGTTGATTCCAGTAATAACCTTGTGAATGTCTTCAGGCAACAACCCCAGCAGAGGAAAGGCACGATGTGACCTTGTTGTACAACAAAATGACCTTAACAGAGCTACAGGAGAAGTTTGCATTGAATGTAAGTGCTTAATGAGCAGTTTCATACTTTCAGTCTCTTAATTCCAATGGAAATGGCTTTGTGAATTTGTCAGTGACTCAACAAAGAGGTATAAAATCAATCCCATTCTTAATCTTGTCTTCAGAGCCTCTTAAAAAGCTTTTTTCTACTGAACAGCACTACGGCTACATTCAAGGCCATAAAACTGCAGAAAGTCCAGTTACTAAGGCACTTAAACACCCACCGTTGGCATCTCTCTGTCTGCCTAGGAATTTAACTGGACCTTCTTCATCCAAGGTGTCATGTCTTCAGTAAGTGTCCAGGTTGACCCAGAAGAGGAGGTGGTTGTCTATGGCATGCCCTACCTGCAAGAGCTGAAAGCAATCATCTCCAAGTACTCAGCAAGGTAAAAAACTGGAGAATATGCCACCAGAAGTCAATCACTGGAGCCTCTTTTTAGTTCTGCCAGGGCTTCTCCAAGGAAAATGAGACCCCTGTAAAATATGGGAAATGTCTTTGAAGGTCTCAAAGCACTTCAGCACCAAGTGTCTCACCTGCTGCTTGCTTAGAGAAGGTTAAATGGGAAGCAAAAAATACATCACAGGCTTAGGTCTTGTTACATCCTAGAAGGAAAACCAATAAGAAATGAATCCCTGAACACACATGACAGTCCAGGCCTCAGGCTGGACAACTCCAGTGAAATGAGAACAGTCACCTGCAGATGCTGTGAAACCCAAATGACTGCCAGCAATCATTTGCTTCCTTATCTCCAACCCAAATGCCTGGCTGGCTGCACTAGAGTTGGCTTTTGCAGGGGATTAAGTTCAGCTCTGCTTTCCTACACAGCACCATCCAGAACTACCTCATCTGGCGGCTGGTGATCGACCGCGTCAGCAGCTTGAGCCGGCGCTTCAAGGACGCCCGGGCCAGCTACAGGAAGGTATTTCCCCTCTTCCTGGAGAGCTCAGTGCTGCAGGAGAGCCCAACAGCTCCAGAACGAGCCCTTGTCAACATAACCATGGCAGGGGGGTGGAACTTTGAGATGAGCTTTGAGGTCCCTTCCAACCCAAACCATCCCGCCATGCCGTGATTAGGTCGCGTAATCCCCAAACACACCCCAGGGCAGCGATGGGAACCTTTGTGTCAGGCTGACCTGCTGGTCAGGCAAGGACTTGGAGAGGCACAGGCAGGGCCAAAGCTGTGCTTGGTGCTGCAGGCTCTGTACGGGACGACGCTGGAGGAGGCGCGGTGGAGGGAGTGCGTGAGCTACGTCAACAACAACATGGAGAACGCGGTGGGAGCCATGTATGTCCGGGAGACATTTGCTGGTGAGAGCAAGAGGATGGTATGTAGTTCACCCTTCGTACTCCTGTACCTCCACTGTGCCCACAGAGCCCCTTCCCTTCTGCCTGAGCCCCCAGAATATTTTGTCTGTGAAAGATTCCCCCCCAGGGCAAGAGTCAGAACTCGGTTATGATGCTCTTTGAATGCTGGGCACTGCGGTTTAAAGCAGAGAATCTGGGGACATCAGGCTTCAGCAGGAAGCTTTTCACCCCTCCTTAGCTCTGCCTGGGGAAATGTAAATCCTGGAAGTGATTCGTATCTTACTGGTTCTCTTTTAGGTGCGAGATTTAATAGAGAAGATCCGCGAAGTGTTCGTGGAGACGTTGGATGAGTTGCAGTGGATGGATGAGGCGTCCAAGGAGAAAGCCAGGGAGAAGGTCAGAGATCATAGGGAACTTCAGTATTCCCTTATGAATGGGAAATACTTGGAATTTTGTAGTACCTCTGTTTCCAGTTCCTCTACAAAATGGAGGAAAATACTTCAATATTCATTATTCCATTATCTTATCACATTGTCCTTTCCTTTTAATCCTCTGCTAGCCCAAATCAGCTAGAATGGCGATTGGAGACAATGCAATCCCCCAGGGAAAACATTTCAGTGACCATCAGCACCATTCCAATAGCAAGGGGAAAAAAACCCAGCTAAACTATTCTATTCAATAAAGTACTGACACTTCACAGAAAACCCACCACACACCAACAAAAACCACACTTAAGAGGAAACATTAAATTCTTTTCTTCTAGGCAATGGCAATCAAAGAACAAATTGGCTATCCAGATTACATTTTGGAAGATCAGAATGAAAAACTGGATCAGGAATATGCCAATGTAAGTATTCTGTGCACACCTCACCAAGTACCTCAAGATAAAAGCCTGCTCTTATTTTCTTGCCACTTGGAATTCTTATACCTGTACAAGTGTCCTTTCCAAGGACATTAAAAAGAACATATTGGTAAATAAATGCATGCAGAGGGCCAACTTTTGGTGGATACCATGCAACCAGAAAACATCATTTAGAGGACACATTTGGTGGTGTGAGGAGTCCCTCTGTCTGCACAGCTGACTAATACACTTGGAGCTCTGTTTCTTTAGTTAAACTTCAGTGAACACAATTACTTTGAAAACATCCTGGAAAACCTGCGAGCTGGAGCCCAAAAGAGCCTGAAAAAACTTCGAGAGAGAGTCGACCAAGACATGTGAGTTCCCAGGCAGCACTTTCCAGCCCCAGTTCTGGACTGAGGGTGAGGGTGTGTAAGTCAGGCTGTGGGCAGCTGAGAGTGCTGGGGGCTGAGATAGCCAAGGAATTATTTTGGATGAGAGGTGCCCACAAACAGGTATTTCCTGGTGTCAGGATTTCCTCACAGCTGTACTCAATGCACCCTTCTTCCCTACATTAATCCTTTCCTTGTACAATTTCCTTTGAGGGATTTTCCTTGTCATCAAATTATATTTCTTTATATATCCTTATATATAATCCTTATAAGGATTATTTCCTTACAATCCTTTCCTATACACCTTGCATTTTTTTAACAATAATTAAATTAAAAGAATGACTTTAAAAAAAAAAAAAATCACTACTAACTGTGTGCAACATTTATTTTTAGATGGATAATTGGAGCTGCAGTGGTCAATGCATTCTATTCCCCCAACAGGAACCAGATAGGTAGGTTTAAACAGCTTTGAACAGCTGCATGGAACTGATTCACCATCTTCAGCCCCACAGCAGTGCAAAGCCCTCCACTGACACATCAGCTGGGTGGTTTTCTGCAGAGCTGCTCGACTGACATCGAGTGCCCTTGGTGCCTGCAGGAATCCCTCCTGTGCATGTTTTACACCCCAAATGTTGTTGGTATCAGCAGATGATTTCTAACGTTTCCTTAACCCAAATAAAGCAACAACACATCCGTTAGTTCCCCTATAAAATGGCTCTCACACACAAACTGTGCCTGTCTCCAAAAGACAGCTCCTAAACATTCTGTTCTTGACTCACTGCAGCAAACATTATGCACCAAATTAGGCTAAACTTAATGTAAATGATGCTCGGGCCTCAAACAGGGAGACACTGTAGCTGCAGATGTGCCAAATTAAACCTTTATTAACTTGTCATTTTCCATTTATCAAGAGAGGAACAATTTCACAGGAGGCATGAGCTTGTTTCTAATCATTTTATATTTTGTGTTCCTTCCTGACCCTTCCACCAGGCAAACAAGCTGTCTGCCAAGGATGCAAAAGTAAAGCCACCCTACAGTATCTCCCCTTCTCTCTGTCCCTCTCTGCAGTTTTTCCTGCTGGGATCCTCCAGCCCCCTTTCTTCAGCAAGCACCAGCCCCAGGCCCTGAATTTCGGGGGCATCGGGATGGTCATTGGGCACGAGATCACGCACGGCTTCGATGACAACGGTGAGGAGAGAGCTGGGAAATGGGATTATTTCAGCTAAAACTCCTTCCAGTGCCAGGAATTACCGTGCCAGACTGCTGGGACTGCAGAGCCCTGCACACACAGTCACATCCCTGCCTGGGAGCAGCTCAGGCACGCGGGGAACAACCCCAGGGAGCGTGGGGGAAGGTTTTTTCTGTGATGGATAATCCAGCTGGGAATAAAACCAGGCCTTAGTGCCATAGCTGAAGTCAGGGCTGCTGACTGAACAGGAAATCATGGAATAACAGAGACCATAGCTGATCTTGTCCATCCTCTCATGACAAGGAGGATCAGCTGTGCCATAAACATTCCTGAGCATCCAGACCAAAGGGGGAAAGAGGGAAGGGGCAGCTCTGACGTCCCAGGTGCTACCCTGGAAGAACAGCGGCTCCTTTCTCTCACTGAAAACTTCGCTTTTTTCCTTGGATTTCCCTTCAGGAAGGAATTTTGATAAAGATGGGAACATGCTGGACTGGTGGAGCAACTTCTCAGCGCTGCATTTCAAGGAGCAGTCCCGGTGCATGGTGCACCAGTACGGGAACTACACCTGGGAGCTGGCAGGGGGGCAGAACGTGAGTAACAACCACAGCTCTGCACACTGCTGGAAACAGGGAACCCCTACAGAGCACACACCCCAGAAACTGCAGCCAGCTCCTCTGGGAATAAGGCACAGCAGCAGCCCAGAAAGCCCAGGCTGTGTGTGCAGGGAGGTTCTGCCCAGCACCAGCCCAGCTCCTGCTCATGGTACATTCATGTAGATCGTCTCTTCTAATCTACAGCTTTTACCCTGTGATTTTTTTAAATTGTTATTATCTCCTTACTTGCCCCAGCACAAAGTCATTGCTTGTCTGTGTTGTATGACTGTGCTTCAGCCTGTAGTTCTTAGAGCTGCTGATTTTACTGACTATGGAGTAAATAAATGGTTGTTTTTTACAGGTCAGTGGCATCAGCACGTTAGGAGAAAACATTGCAGATAACGGAGGAGTCCGACAGGCTTACAAGGTAATTCAAACACACTGGGAGTCAACAGAGAATGTTCTCCCCTGCAAATGATCCTTCCAGATGTCCCAGTACAATTTTTTTATCCTTAGTGTTTTGGGTATGGCACCAGTTAAAGGTGTTCATAGCCTGTCCTGAATTTTCAGAAACCTCAACTGACATTTCTGACCCCAAGGGACAATATTCCAATTAATGACTTGGTTAGAATTGTTTCAAAAGCCATTGCAGGTGTGCAGGAGCAGAGTGGGATGACACAAACCGCCTGCTCACAGAATCCATGGATGTTCTGTGGTGCTGGATCTATTTTTACCCTCAGCTCTCCCTTTTGTTTCATGTGCTTTGGGACTATCTCAGCAACAGAGAGGCTGCAGAAACAGAACACTGGGAATTAACCAGCATGAGGACACATTAACTTGTCTCCATCATGTCAATATAGCTAAAAAAAGCAAATTGGCCAATTAATGTGTAACAATAACAGGTAATGGATTTAACATTGAGCAAGGTTGTTATCTGCTATTTTATGAGCAGTTACCTGACGAGAGAAAAATCATCACTCTAGAGCTGTGGAGGAGACTTAACACTTTATTTCCAGATACAAATTCCTGTGGAAAGAGTCTGTGAAGTCAGCTTATGCTGACAGCTTTGTCATAAAATTCTTGGTACTGTTGTATTAGAGAGAGAAAACCCACAGAAGTACAGAAGGGAAACATGTTGGGTTCATTCATATTGTGGCTAAAGCCTCCCACCCCAATAAAACATTCAATATCCCCCTCCTGCTGCTCCTCTGAGTTGGATTTATGATCATTTCCAGGCCTATTTGAAGTGGCTGGAACGGGAAGGAAAGGAGCCAAAGCTTCCTGGACTGAACCTGTCCCACAAACAGCTTTTTTTCCTCAATTTTGCCCAGGTAAGAACAGTCAGGGTTGTGCCCCAGGCCCTCAGACCTCAGTTCATGTGATGAAGGAAACACCTGGTGAAATCACCTGCTGATAGATTGATCCCAAAGCATCAGATCTTGATCCAAGACTTTGTAAAACAAAAACTAATTAGTAAATACTTGCATCTATTCTGCCTCTTTATAAAACATCCTCCAGTGATGTCATAACAAACTGGGATGGCTCTCAGGAAAACTTTGAAAACAAGTGAGAATATTCCCAAAATGAAGTCCCTTTAATCCTGACCCACTGATTGTTAATGCTCCCTGTCCAGGTTTGGTGTGGCTCCTACAGACCAGAATATGCCAGCCAGTCCATAAAGACAGACGTGCACAGCCCTCTGAAATACAGGTGGGTTTTACTGATTTACTGACTCGGAGCTCACTTCATTCACCCCCTGGCACCAAGACAGCCCAGAGGGAGAGTTTTATAACACACCAGATAAATCCAAACTTAACTTTCAGGATTTCTGCCATGGCTTGTAGGACACTGCTGGGGAGCACATGGCCTGGGAATTTGCCAATCCTTAGGGAATGACTGATGAACACCCACACTGTTCTGGTGTTTCACTGGTCACAGTACCTACATGTCCTTGCAGAAAGGATCCTGTATTCCAAACTGCAGTCGAGTTCTGAGGCTCCAAACCCTTTCTGGACACGACTCTCTCTGTTTGCCAGAGGAGCAATCTCCATGCACTGTCTCCATATTAACAAGTGCCTTCTCTTTGTTCAGGGTGATGGGATCCTTGCAGAACTTTGAAGCCTTCTCCGAGGTGTTCCAGTGTAAGAAGGGCACAGCCATGCACCCTGCAGGGAAATGCCGGGTGTGGTGACGGAGGGACGCGGGGAGGGTGACCCGCTCCGGTGCCCCCACACACAGCCCGTGGCAGGGCCGTGCCTGGCGTTCTGCTCAGTCCCAGCCGGGGCTGACGGGGCAGCTACTGGAGTGGGAGTCACAGACCCACGGCACTGAGCTGTCCCAGTGCCACCGGGAGCCCCCGGGATCGCGGGGATTCGGGGCTGTGCCAGAGCCCGGGCGTGTCCCCGGCCAGAGCGACTGTTTCCAACGACATCCCGACTGTTAGCAATCCACTGCATCAGGGCTACAAGGACTGATTCTTAAGTGAAAACAAAATCAACAGCCACAAATCTATTTTTCAGAAAGGAACAATGATTTTAATATTCTAACTCCACCGTCTGGGGCTCAGCAAACCTGTGTGAGATGTTTCACTGATCCGTTCCCGGTGTTCTGATCCAGTTTCTGGTGCATTCTTCCCCAAATCAGGTTAGAGCTGCTGTAAACTCTGCTGTCTGTACCCCTGCACTTTGCTTTGCTGTCAGAGATTGCTGTGTGTCGTGACATGTCACGCAGTGAGCCCTGTGTCGAGATGCCTGTTGCACTCTCCTCCTGCACTTGAGTTCCTCTGCTCCAAAGAACAACCTTCAAGTGACGTATCACTAGAATTAGCACATTTTAGGAGTACAAATTCTGTCGTCATGGTTAAATTACAGGGTCCCACCCTTCACAGATATATTTAAAATGATGCTTATTCTTGTAGAAAGTGTATAAAAATACTTTTTGCCAAATAGCAAACATGTATCCATGGAAACAATTAAGCTGGTTTTAATCCTGTGCCTTTTCATTTTGCCATAGGCTATTTTTCAGTATTTACACTTGAAAATGTAACATGTATTAATTTTTAATAAAATTTAAAAGAAAAAAATCACAGTGGCCAATTCAGCAAGGATTTCCCTATGGAGAGGATTGGGTGGCTTTCCTTGGTAAGCATCTTACCATAATGAGAATATTTTAAACTTTCAACACTTCACAGTGAATTTTAAATACTCTTTCAGCAAATGCTTTTCTTTCTAGCACAGAAATCCCTGGAAAGCAAGGCAGTAGCTACTTGTGTGAAATCATGGTGGGATTCTCTGTGCAGGGCCATGAGTTGGACATGATGATCCTTGTGGGTCCCTTCCAGCTCAGGATATTCCATGTTTCTAGTGCTTACCAAGTGCTAAATCACACTATTCCTTTGCTTCCCAGATCTCAGCACCCCACTAGCAAGATGTTTGATCCTGTAAAGTCAGATTGGCACAGAAACCCCCTTTAAAAGTACAAGCTGCTGTGCTTTGTCACCATGTTCAAAGACCACTTTTGGCCTTGGGAATTGCATTTGTTCACTCAGGTCTCAGCAGAGGGACTGACAAACTGCCCGACCCCAGACTGGGAGGGGGTCACTGCCCCCCACGAGGGAACTGGGGCGAGGGACAGCACTGTGTGTGTGCCAGGCACAGGAAGGGGCTCAGAGCCCTGGGGGCTCAGGGGCAGGAGGTCACACTGCCAATGTCCTAACTGCAAAATCATTCGGCTCTGGAGATGGGCCAGTGGGGTTCTGGCACATGCACCTGGTAAAGGGACAATTCACACGTGCCTGGGAGGGTTTCCAACTGATCCTCACAGCACATGGAAGTTTCTTCAGTTTTTTCATCGAAGTTTATCCCACCTCCCACCCTGCAGAAGGCTCTTCCCAGCTGTCACTTTGTGTCGGTGCCAAGTGCACAGAACTCCAACCTCTCCTCACAGCCCCAGCCTCCCCTCACAGCCCCAGCCTCCCCTCACAGTCCAACTCCACCGTTGTACCCCCTCTGCACTCCCACTCCCCTCTCCAGTGGCAGCCCCATCTCCCAGCAGCCGCTGATGCCCTGGGTGACACAGGACTGGACAGAAGAGACGGGCTCCAAACGCCCAGGAAAGGGCACTGAACTGCTCTTGACCACTGCGTTTCTTTCCCACAATCATAAACCATTTCAGCCTCGCGGGAAATCCTGCACCCAGAGGCGTTCCGCTGCATTTTAGACTCGTGGGCAATTGGGCATCAGAGAAGCTTTATTACGTCTTTGGGAACAGAAGGACAATCCCGGTGGTTTCCAGCACGAGGACCACCAAGCCTTTCCTTCTCCCATGCTGCCACCTGGCGACACACCCGGCTCCAGCTTCCAAAACACACCAAAAGACAGACTCCATGAAACATTGGTGCAGACATTAAACACCCTGCTGTGGCAGCACCCAAAGATTTCGCTTCTGGCCAGTAGATGGGTGGCCCTGGTTGGTGCTGCACCTCTTTACCTGGCTGTGCAGAGCTCCCAGCTCACCTACAAGCAGCTTCTACCTGTAAGTGTAGTCACTGAAAGTCGCATAGTTATGGGGCTGGAGGACAGATATTTCTTTGCAAAAACGTCTTTGGAGCAATTGCTGCCTCAACACTTACAAATCCCAGCACTAACACCTGCCACCGGTGAGCTGCAGGAAGCACTGACAGTTGCAGAGCTGTAAGATCTGAAGTCTGTCCAAAGCCACAGGTCACAGAGGTGCAGGTGCAGCAGCAGGATAACAAAGAGGGCCTTCAGCAACAAGATAAGTCATTAGAAGATTAAAAAACAAACAAACAAGCAAAAAACCAAAAACCCCAAAACCAAACAACCAAACAAACAAAACACAACTTAGCAGAAGGTTTTTTGCAACACAGAGACAGCTGAAGGTGCCCTGTCATTGTTCTCTGAACTTTCTCTATTTGGGGATGTGGCTTTATCTCAAAAGTTTGCTCAAAAAGCTTTTTATTCAACAATGGGCCCTTCATGCAGGGGTGTTGCAGAAAGACAAGAAAGGGTTAACAATTACCAGTTTCTACAGTTGGAAATGTTGGAGAATATCCAAAGTTAATGAAACATTAACCAGCTACTAAAGAACTTACCAAAGAGAAAAAAAGGTCAAAAAAAAAAAATTTTACTTTCCCAATTCCTCTTTTTACTGTTCATTATGACACAGACAGACCAGCCACAAACCAGCAAAAACAAAAACAGTTGTGGATTTGCTGGGTGCCACTGGAGTTTTCAGAAGGAATTGTCAGAACTGTCCTCTTGACTTGTCTCTTCTTTGACCACCAAAAGCAAAACCAATTCTCAGCAGACACAAAAGAATCAGCAAAGGCTGTGCCTCTTTTAGGTTCAGCTACTTCCAGAACTTTAGAATTGTGACACTCCTTTTTGTACAAAAATAGCTGGGAGTGACAGACACTGTAGGCAATCTGTCCTTCCACAATTACTGCAATACAAAAGCTTTCAAAACATGAGAAATATGCCATTATTTGCACTTAAAGAAAAAAAAAACAAACGCACACAAAAACGAAACCAAAACCAAAACACAACAGTCACAACTAAACTCTGTACAAAAGGCATTTGAAAACTCTCTTATGTGTGAGCCATGAGGAGTGCCTAAAATGAAAAAAAGCCAACAAGCAATGCAGGAATAATCACTGTATACCAGGTGTCCACTGTCCATGGGGGAAGGAAAAGAGAACTGCAGGCATTCCACACAGCCCACTGCTCCATGAAGGCGATGGGTAACAGAAGAGATTTCCAGCTGCTGATGACACTCCCTTGATCACTCAACTCTTTCAGACCTTGATGTTTCCCAGGATGCCACTGGGCCATTTCATTACCTCCTTTGCAAACCCTCCTTTTCATTTCCAGGCTGACTTTTCCTTCACAGAGTTGCAGAAGAAAAGGGTTTGTGCTTGCTTCTTTTTAACCATCCCCATTGTCTGTCATGCTTCAAACAAGACTCTGCAATTCAGGCCTGGTTTCTTTGGGGTCAGCACCCACTTCCTGCACAGGAACAGTTGTTTGATCCCCTTTCTCCTCGATGACCCTCAAGGCCTGACCATGCTGTTCACGCTTTAGGACATGTCAGAGGAAAACACAGAGTATGAACAGTCAGGTTATAGCAGCTTTTATCAGCAATTCCTGCTCCTTCCACTACTGCCAGACACACCTGGGCTTATTCCTTAAGGGCAGGAGCCACTGCTGGGCCCCTCTCAAATCCCATTTCAACACATTCCCCAGAAGGAGAAAGGAAGAAGAGACATACTCACCTCTGACTCCTGCACCGCTGCAAAGGAAAGCAAACAGTTCATCAACAAGCAGGAAGGGGAACTTCCTACTAATGCCCTTTCCTACCCACACTGTGCCAGCCAGGGGGCAGTGGGGCAGCACTGAGGGTCACCCTGGGCACAGGCACAGCCCCACGGGAGGCCCCTCACACAGGGGAACTGGGACACAGACACACTGCAGCTGCCTTCCAGCCTCCTCTAACTGGCTGCTCAGTTTTCAGCTGAACATCCAAGACCGTTCTTCAGAGTAATCTTACACAACTACCCCTTTGCACTCACACTCTTTGTACTCACATGGCACACGACTTCTCAGTTTCCTCCTCCGACAGGTATGTGTGATGGCAGCTACAGCAGCCACCACGAGCACAACAGAGACAAGGATTGCTATGATTGCTGGCTCAGGCAGAGCTGGGGAAGGGTTCTGCTTCTTAGGTCTGATGTGAGGAAAGAAATACCTGTGATACTACAACCTGCCAGCAGACCCTGCTCTGGAACTGCTGCCCTGTTTTTAACATCACACCTCCACAGCCAGCAGCATTCCCAAGCCTCTTGCTGACTTGGGGGGTAATCCAGGTGGCAGCTGACTCTTACCTCTTTGCTTTCATGCCTCTGAGTGCAAAAGGATTCTCCTCAGAAACAAACTCTCACCTCTTCTACTCTAGCTAAGGGATGTGCCAGCTGAAACCCGGGTACCAGGAGGCTGCTGCTCTCCATGGCTGCAGATCCAGCTCGGCTAGACCTGCCCGAGGGCCTCCTCTGCACTGACAAGTTCAGATCAGGCACTGAAACCTGTCATGTTAAGGAGTTTATAGAGAGACGAGTTGAGCTGTTCCCAACAAAGAACTGGACACAGGAACAGGATTCCACACTCGCTGCCTTACTGCAAGGAGGACACTGCTGTGTGGAACACACCAAAATGCAGAGCCAGCTGTTAGAGAACAGCCACTCACCCCTAAGGAGTCAGAGCCGCTTACCTGGGCCATGGTGTGCAGGCCACAGACATGTTGGCTGTGGAGAAGGTGCCAGGAGGACAGACTTCACACACATGGTCCTTGGTGGCTGTACCTAGAAGGGAGAAGCCCCCAGGAGTTCCCCCTGAGCCTCTGCCTCAGGAGAGCTTCAGCTCAGCGTGGCCTTTGGAAGTGACCCATCACTGCAGAGACCCTACCCCCCAGACAGCAGCTCACACACTTCTGCCTTGGCACACCAGCAAAGAGCACAAAGTGCCACAGCAACCAAACTCCAAAGGCATCCCACAGGGCAGCTCTGCTGCTGCTGCCACTGACGCTCTGCTGGCTTACCCCATTCTTTGACCACAGTGCCAGGCACACAGACAGTGTAGGGCTGGCAGAGCTCACAGCCTTCGGGCCCGGGGGAGCTGCAGAAGTGCCCTGGCCGACAGCCACACACCGTGTTCTTCGTGTAGGTACACGCTGCTGCTGTCACCAGGTTGGCCCCTGAGAGAAATCCACACACACAGAGACACGGCGTTGACACGGGAAAACAGCACCCAAACCAAAAGACAACATTTAGCCTTGTCCTGATGCACTGCTCAACAGCACCACAACTCTGGATGTGTACAGAGTTCTGGATCCTACAGACTCTGGTGATTGTTACGGCCACTCTGGAGGCTCCCAAGGAAGGGACAGGGCCAGGCACTGGGTGAGGGCTGAGTGCTGGCTGGAGAGGATTCCCTGGGTGGCGTTCACAGCAATGGGCTACCTGGCTCTTGTCAGGGCACAGCGGGCACGACAGCGGTGTTGGGTCCCCATGGCCACTGTCCACTGAGGTGGGTCACCTCACAGCCACTGTCCATTGGGGCAGGTGCCCATGGCCGCTGGCAGCGGTCACCCCATGGCCCCTGAGGCAGAGGGAGCCACCCCAAGCCGAGGTGGTGAGCAGGAAGGGCAGGCAGGGCAGGCAGAGTAGGAAGGGCAGGCAGAGCACGAAGGGCAGGCAGGCCGGTACGTACCCACAGCACATGTGGGGCAGCACTTGGTGCCATTGGGGTACTCGCCCAGCTCACAGCCCGTGGCATCCGAGTGCTCCAGCTGCGTGACCAGCACCACGGTGAGGACCTCGGGGCAACAAGAGGACGAGGTTATACCTCAAGAACTGGGTTCTGCCTCTGGGCCCCCGAGGCTGTTCCCTCATGGCCACCATGGGTGTTCCCTCCCAATCACCGAAGCTGTTCCCTCACGATCACCGAGGCGGTTCCCTCATGGCCACCAAGGCTGTTCCCTCACGATCACCGAGGCTGTTCCCTCATGGTCACTGGGTGGTTCCCTCATGGCCACCACAGCTGTTCCCTCCCGATCACCGAGTCGGTTCCCTCATGATCACCGAGGCTGTTCCCTCACGATCACCAAGGCTGTTCCCTCACGATCACCGAGGCTGTTCCCTCATGATCACTGAGGTGGTTCCCTCCCAATCATTGAGGCTGTTCCCTCATCACCCGATCACTGAGGTGGTTCCCTCATGGCCACCAAGGCTGTTCCCTCCCGATCACCGAGGCGGTTCCCTCATGGCCCCACTCACCAGCCAAACGGTGCCCTGCACAAGCTGCTGCCGCCATCTCAGAGGCCTCCCCGTGCCCCGCGGCTGCGGCCACATGTGGGACGGGATGGGACCGGCTCCGGCCCCACTTGATGCCCAAGGGAAAGGCACTGACCTGGAGGAAGGGGACGGGGGGCACGTGTGGCTCCAGCCCCCTCAGGGGTCCCGTAACGGTCACACCATTGCCCGCTCCCCCGGCCGGTACAGCAGGGAAGGCTTTGGCAGGGCCTAGCCACAAAGGCAGTAAAATACCTCAAATTGCAGCAAACAACCCCTCCAAACCTGGCAAACCCCTCAAACAAACCTCCTGGCAAACAAACCAGCCCCTCAAATCACGGAACAAACCCTCAAATCCTGGTGTACAAACCCTCTTCTTGCCCTGGGACAGGTTTAACAAGTCGAAATTCATTGGTATTGGAGAGAAAGGGTTCTCATTAGTAAAAACTTTATTTTAAAAACACAGTGGTCACATAGGATATTAACTTTCTTTACTAAAACATATATGCTCCCTGCTGTGCACAATTCCTTTTCCCAGCTAAAAAACAAAACTGTGTACAAAATGCATTTGAAAAAACTCTGTTATGTATGAGGAATGCTTAAAAGGGAAAAAGAACCATTTTTTCCCCACCAACAATCAATAATAGAGTAATTAATATGTATCAAGTGTCAGCTTTCTGTGAGGGAAGCAAAAGAGAACTGCAGGCATTCCACACAGCCCACTGCTCCATGAAGGCGATGGATAACAGAAGAGATTTCCAGCTGCTGATGACACTCCCTTGATCACTCAACTCTTTCAGACCTTGATGTTTCCCAGGATGCCACTGGGCCATTTCATTACCTCCTTTGCAAACCCTCCTTTTCATTTCCAGGCTGACTTTTCCTTCACAGAGTTGCAGAAGAAAAGGGTTTGTGCTTGCTTCTTTTTAATCATCCCCATTGTCTGTCATGCTTCAAACAAGATTGTGCAATTCAGGCCTGGTTTCTTCGGGGTCAGCACCCACTTCCTGCACAGGAACAGTTGTTTGATCCCCTTTCTCCTCGATGACCCTCAAGGCCTGACCATGCTGTTCACGCTTTAGGACATGTCAGAGGAAAACACAGAGTATGAACAGTCAGGTTATAGCAGCTTTTGTCAGCAATTCCTGCTCCTTCCACTACTGCCAGACACACCTGGGCTTATTCCTTAAGGGCAGGAGCCACTGCTGGGCCCCTCTCAAATCCCATTTCAACACATTCCCCAGAAGGAGAAAGGAAGAAGAGACATACTGACCTCTGACTCCTGCACCGCTGCAAAGGAAAGCAAACAGTCCATCAACAAGCAGGAAGGGGAACTTCCTACTAATGCCCTTTCCTACCCACACTGTGCCAGCCAGGGGGCAGTGGGGCAGCACTGAGGGTCACCCTGGGCACAGGCACAGCCCCACGGGAGGCCCCTCACACAGGGGAACTGGGACACAGACACACTGCGGCTGCCTTCCAGCCTCCTCTAACTGGCTGCTCAGTTTTCAGCTGAACATCCAAGACCGTTCTTCAGAGTAATCTTACACAACTACCCCTTTGCACTCACACTCTTTGTACTTACGTGGCACGTAACTTTTCCTTTTCCTCCTCTGCCAGTTATATGTGAGAGCAGCTGCAGCAGCCGCCACGATCACACCAACAGAGACAAGAATTGCTATGATTGCCGGCTTAGGCAGAGCTGGGGAAGGGTTCTGCTTCTTAGGTCTGATGTGAGGAAAGAAATACCTGTGATGCTACAACCTGCCAGCAGACCCTGCTCTGGAACTGCTGCCCCGTTTTTAACATCACACCTCCACAGCCAGCAGCATTCCCAAGCCTCTTGCTGACTTGGGGGGTAATCCAGGTGGCAGCTGACTCTTACCTCTTTGCTTTCATGCCTCTGAGTGCAAAAGGATTCTCCTCAGAAACAAACTCTCACCTCTTCTACTCTAGCTAAGGGATGTGCCAGCTGAAACCCGGGTACCAGGAGGCTGCTGCTCTCCATGGCTGCAGATCCAGCTCGGCTAGACCTGCCCGAGGGCCTCCTCTGCACTGACAAGTTCAGATCAGGCACTGAAACCTGTCGTGTTAAGGAGTTTATAGAGAGACGAGTTGAGCTGTTCCCAACAAAGAACTGGACACAGGAACAGGATTCCACACTCGCTGCCTTACTGCAAGGAGGAACTTACTTACTGCAAGGTGTGGAACACACCAAAATGCAGAGCCAGCTGTTAGAGAACAGCCACTCACCCCTAAGGAGTCAGAGCCGCTTACCTGGGCCATGGTGTGCAGGCCACAGACATGTTGGCTGTGGAGAAGGTGCCAGGAGGACAGACTTCACACACATGGTCCTTGGTGGCTGTACCTAGAAGGGAGAAGCCCCCAGGAGTTCCCCCTGAGCCTCTGCCTCAGGAGAGCTTCAGCTCAGCGTGGCCTTTGGAAGTGACCCATCACTGCAGAGACCCTTCCCCCCAGACAGCAGCTCACACACTTCTGCCTTGGCACACCAGCAAAGAGCACAAAGTGCCACAGCAACCAAACTCCAAAGGCATCCCACAGGGCAGCTCTGCTGCTGCTGCCACTGACGCTCTGCTGGCTTACCCCATTCTTTGACCACAGTGCCGGGCACACAGACAGTGTAGGGCTGGCAGAGCTCACAGCCTTCGGGCCCGGGGGAGCTGCAGAAGTGCCCTGGCCGACAGCCACACACCGTGTTCTTCGTGTAGGTACACGGTGCTGCTGTCACCAGGTTGGCCCCTGAGAGAAATCCACACACACAGAGACACGGCGTTGACACGGGAAAACAGCACCCAAACCAAAAGACAACATTTAGCCTTGTCCTGATGCACTGCTCAACAGCACCACGACTCTGGATGTGGAAAGAGGCCCCATTCCTCACTGAGGCAGAACCTTGGCTCACATTTACATCTGTCATAAGTGTTGCACAGCAAAAGCAAAATACTCCCAGCTCAGTTGTTTTTAAATTAGCTGTCCTAGTGAAGTTCTCCCAGGCCTACCTTATCCCAGCACTCCAAGACAACTCACTATAATCTAAAGAAGATTTAAGTTAATCTAAGAGAGAGGTTGCAGACCAAATTCCAATGGTGCTTTCTGAAGCTCCCTGTCAATTTTTCCCTTCCATCCCACAGCTCACAGCACTCCCATGTCTGCAGAGTGGCATGAGCCTGTTCTTCACACTGACTAATTTGTCAAGCAAATGAGGCAAGAAAGGAGAAGGGAGAATGTATCCATGGAAAGGCATGAAAAATCCATTTGAACTGGTTCTTGAGCATCCTCCTTACCTTCATCACACACTTTGCATGTCCTGCAGTGTGTTAAACCATTGGGGTGATCTGTGTAGGTCCCCTCCATACAAGGTATGCACGTTGTGCTGGAACTGGCAGTGCAGTGCTTGAAAACCCGCCATCCTGAAAACCATAAACCATCCCCAAAGAAGCAGCTCTGTTAGCAAAGCTCACGTGGTCAGGGACCAGCACTGGTACCCAACCACACCTAAATACTGCAGATCAACTATGAGCACCTCAGAAATACCCTAATAGCAAGGACATAATCCTAAAACAGAAACCAGGGCACGAAATGAAGCTCCTTGGAAACTGTGACTTTACCTACTACCCCAGCAGAGACTACTGATTGTTACGGCCACTCTGGAGGCTCCCAAGGAAGGGACAGGGCTCATTACTGGGTGAGGGCTGAGTGCTGACTGGAGAGGATACCCTGGGTGACCACTGGCATCGGTCACCCCATGGCCCCCGAGGCAGAGGGAGCCGCCCCAAGCGGAGGTGGTGAGCAGGAAGGGCAGGCAGAGTAGGAAGAGTAGGAAGGGCAGGCAGAGCACGAAGGGCAGGCAAGGCAAGCAGAGCAGGAAGGGCAGGCAGAGCACGAAGGGCAGGCAAGGCCGGTACGTACCCGCAGCACACATGGGGCAGCACTCGGTGCCCTGCGGGTACTCGCCCAGCTCACAGCCCGCGGCGTCCGAGCGCTCCAGCTGCGTGACCAGCACCATGGCGAGGACCTCGGGGCAACACACGGAGCGCGTTATCCCCCGAGGACCGCGTTATCCCCCGAGGACCGGGTTATCCCCCGAGGACCGGGTTATTCCCCGAGGACCGGGTTATCCCCCGAGGTCCGGGTTATCCCCCAGGACCGGGTTATCCCCCGAGGACCGGGTTATCCCCCGAGAGCCGGGCCGGCCGCCCGGTCTGAGGCGGCTCCCCCGGGCTCGGCTCCGTTCCCGCGGGGCGGTTCCCGGCGGGTGTCCCCGGCCCCCTCACCAGCCTCATGGTGTCCCAGGTGCGCTCCCTCAGCCGCCACCGCCGCGGCCGCTGCCCCATGCGGGACAGGGCCCGTCCCCGCAGGGTGCCCGAAGAAATCGAAAGCGAAAGGTCGGCATGAAGAGACGGGAAGAGGAGAAGCCGGTGCCCCGTCCCCCGTGACAGCCGTGTTGCTTCCCATTCCCCGCGCCGGGTTCCGCGGGGAGAGAGCTGCTCCGAAAGTCAGTAAAATACCTCAAATTGTGACAAAAGAGCCCCTCAAAACCTGCAACAAGCCCCTCAAATCGTGGCGAACCAACCCCTGAAAACCTGTCACAAACACCTCAAAACCTGGCAAACGAACCCAGCTCTCCAAACCTGGAGCAAACCCTTCAAATCCTGGCGCACAAACCCTTTAAAACCTGGAAAAAAACCCAAAAGTTGTGCCACAAGCCCCTCAAATCGTGGCAAACCAACCCCGCAAACCCCAAAACAAGCCCCTGAAATCGTGGCAAACCAACCCCTCAAACCCCATCCTAGGGTCTCGTTGGTGACAGGCTCGGGTGGGAGGGAGGAGGACTCAGGTGGGTGCCTGCAGACCTGCCGGGCAGGTGCAAGGTTTGTGTGGCAGGAGGGGCCCTGACAGGGGAATGCTCAGCAGGATTCAGCTGAGGGAATCTGCCTGCCAGGAGCACTTCTTACTCCTTGGGCTGAGGGGGCACTCGTGGTGGGAATCACAAGAATACAGAGTGGACACAAATGGGAGTTCCTCGAGCTTCACAAAAAAACCATTTCTTCAGAAGACTGACATTAACCTTCCCCAGGGGTGCGAGCGGCTGCACATCCCTCAGAGGGACAGAACCACACACAGGTTGCACACAAATGCATTTTATTGCTCTCTACACACACAGAGACGCATACACAGTATGCACATGAGCCATAGGGCAGTCCCAGCACTGGGAGAAACACCATCCACCAGGAATTCAACTACTCAATACAGATAAAAATCATTATTATAATGAAAATGCTAAAAAAAGCATAGCTTACACCCAAAATGTATAACATTGACAAATCAAGCCTGTTACCTACCACCTTTTCTTTAACATAAAGCAGGAACACACTCTTTTTCTAAATTGAAAAAAGCATCAAAGAGTAGAAATATTCCACATAGTTTCCTAACTCCTGGTCATCCCTCCCACTGGATATACAGAACTACGAAAGGGCCTTGGGGGAGAAATCCAAACCAAAACCAAACCCATTTTTGATGCTGCACAATTGATAAGCAAACAGTGGGAAATGGATTTTAACCAAGTGTGCATGGACTAAAGGGAATAAATTTCTCCTTGGGAGTGACTGAGCCAACCCGAGTCACTCATCAAGCCAGAGCAAAGCTGGTGGCTCTTAAAGGGAATATTAGAGAAAATCTCCTACAGCAATTGCTGTCCATCACAACTGTAACATTTACAAACATCCTCCTTCATTCTGAAGACGTTGCCCCTGCCTGGGCAGCACTGCAGCAGTGCCTACACAGCTTCCACACCAAACAGAACACCTCAACTTTTGCCAAAGGATCCCAAAAGAGTCAAAAGTATGGCATTCTTTCACACATAAATGAAATACAGGGGGAAATAAAATTCCCTACAGCAGAGAGGATCAGAGCTGGACTATCAGATGCAGTCAGATCCTTCCTCTGGACTGTCACAGTCCCTGCAGTGAGGACTCCCCGACTACCAGGGCCTCCAGAGAGGGCAGGTGTCCTTTGCAGACACTTGTTTCAGGGGCCCAGCGTTCCCAGGGCAGCAGGAGAGCTCCGGAGCAGCCGACTGGCTCTTCTGGAAATGGCTCAAAAGTTTGGTCTGGGTTTCAGTTCGGACTTTATGGAGAGAGAGGAAGTGGAAAGCTTCTTGCAAGCACCTGGAATAGCCCTCTCTGAAGTCAAACTGGGAGCTTTTATGGAAGGATCCTGCAGCTAGAGAAGGGAAGAAAAGAGGGAGAGGGAAGAAAGAATAGTTTAAAGCAGTTGTTTGTGGCTCAGGATTAATACAACTGTCACAGATTTGCAGTAAGATGGAGAATTAAACAAAATTCAATACTCACTCTTCATCTGCAGCTGGCTCTGCTGCTTCAGGTAGCTGACAGTCATCTCCAGGATATCAGCTTTCTCCAGCTTGGAGTTGGGCTGGTGCCTCTGGAACTCCTTCTCCAGGAGCAGTTTCAGCTGCTCGATACTGCTGTTAATCCGGTCCCGGCGCATTTTCTCCACCACCGGCTTCCTCAGCTGTAAAAAGCAAAGGAAAAGACACCTGTTATTAAAGGATCCTCTCTCTGTCACCCCTCGGGGCTGTTTGGTGCCCATACCTGCTCCTAAAGCCTGTGGGGCAGGTTCTCAGCTGGTGTCAGTGCTCCAGGAGCAGCTCTCGAGCTGTGCTGGGACTTACTTTGTTTTTCTCCTTTGGTGTCAGCAGGTTGTCGGGCTCCAAGAAAACGGTGCTGGGAGCCATCTGTCCTGGGAAGGGAAGGGAGCTCTCGGAGTGGAATCCAGGAGAAACGTGCTGCTGGAAGCTGCCTCTGCCTGGTATTTATACTGCCCAAGCTCAGGGCGAGTCTGTGGGTCTGCGGCTCGGTGGCGTTTCCCACAGTCCGCAGCCAATCCGGGAGATGGGAAGCACAATGGGAGAAGCAGCTATTCTTGCATGCTCCAGTGGCAGTGAATAGCCTGCGGATAATGACCTTCTCCCAGATGAGCAGGTGGGGAGTGTGTGCTACGTGAAAGCCTGGGATCAGAGTTACGTGTCAGGAGCTGGGAAAGAGCTGGCCTTCAATGGGAAAGGCTGCTGACTAATGCCATGGATCAATAGCATTCCAGGGGCGGCCTGGGGTTCACAGGCAGGAGGAAGGAGGAGGAGGAGGAGGAGGTCAGCTGCTGATGGCGGGAAGGCTGCACTGCTCCTGGGAATGCACCAAGGCACACGCTGGAGCAGGGCCATGGCACACAGGGCAGGGATATGGCACCCAGAGCAGGGATATGGCACATGGAGCAGGGATATAGCACACAGGGCAGGGATATGGCACATGGAGCAGGGACAAGGCACACAGAGCAGGGGCAAGGCACACGGAGCAGGGACAAGGCACACACAAGTAGCTCCCACTGCTCTGAGAGAAGGAGCAGAAATTCCTCAAATCCACTCACCCGGTTTCCTCAGGGAGCCAAAGGAATGGTTCTCCCACAGGTGACTCAGGCACCAGCTTTGCCCATGGGAAACAGAAAATGGCTTTTCCGCTTTGGCTTACCGCAAATAAATACATTTAATTTTAAGTACACGCAATTACAGAAAACATTTTCTGGTTTGGTCTTTGCTCTCTTCCCTCAGTACCTCATGCAGCCCTTTGGAAAACTCTCAAGCCACATTACAAGCACTTTATGTTTTTGCTTTCAAATACCTGCAAGATAAACATATGTGGTGAAGGGTCTTGGAATGTTTGGGGATCAGCTCAGTCTCATGCTGCTTCTCACTTCCTCCCCAAAACACATTTTACTCTAATTATTTTCATTTAGTCTGTGCACTAAGGAAGATTGGCTGCAGAATAAATTTATATCCCTACCAAACTTGTGAGAAATCGAATTCCTGATTCCTCATCATTCTCCACGGGGCCAGTTTCCAGACAGAGATGCTCAGGGGGTGTCTGCAGTGGGAAGAGCTGACAGTGTCACTGTTTGTGACTGATAAACACAGAGCCAGGGATTCCTGTTGGAAAACTTGTAGCAAATCTGCCAGCAATTCGTCTGTCAAGTAATGCCAGGGCTGGCGTTTGGGAAGCTCCTTCTGCAGTAAGGAAGCACTGTTTGTGTTTACACTACTATTCCTGTGTTCATCTGCACATGAGCACGCGTGTGGTCACTCACGCCTGTCAGAGTGAACACACAGAGCACACAGGGCACATTTCTCTCCCTCTGCAGCTCGTTCCTGCGGGCCCAGGTAAGGTTTAAAGGAGCTCTTGCAGGCTCTGCCATTCCAGCCCCATTGTGCTGCCCTGAATGGGCTCCTTCTCTCCCTTCAGAGCAGCAGCTGTTGAGCTCCCCATCCTTTATGTCAGGTTGTGGGAACGCTTTTGTGACACCGTTTCACATGTTCCCCTCAAAGCCTGTGGATTATCTGTGAGCCCATGTAATGCCACCTCTGAAACCAATCCTGCTCTCTGCACGTCCCTCTTGGGGAGATTCCCTGACACAGAAACTCCGGGGCTGGAACTCATTTCTTGAGCTCGTTAATTGAGCACATGAGGAAGAAAAGCGCCAGTCCCGTGATCTGCAGGGCCACTGGCAGTTTTGCTACAGACAATTGCTGTTTTCCTCTTACTTCTTCTCTCAATTCCCACATAATTACTACACTAACTCCATGGGAACAGTCATGCCAACCTTACCCTCCTTGCTCTTGGTAGTGGTTGTGCACTGGCACAGTCAAGGGGCCAGTGCTCAAAATTTCCTCTCCTTTTGGATCCAAACTGACCCAGAGCCTGCAGCTGAGCAGGACGAATGTGAAAATAATCTTCTGTGGCCTGGAGAAATTCCCTTTAACTGTGGAGGCTGGAGGCCCCACATATTTACATTGCATGTGATGATAAAAATTACAATATTCAATGGATTATTGGGAGCTGAATGTAGCAAAATCTCCCTTGGATCCACTGAGGCTCCTACTCCCTCACTCTGTGTCAGAAACAAATTTTAAAGCATCTGAAATAAAAACATATACTTTTTAGGTTTTCGTTTGTTTCACAATCTGTGAGGGGAAAATTAGCCAATTAATGACCGTCTTGGAAGAGTTACTCAAATTAGATGCTCAGTTGCCCAAAATAGATGCCCTGCTTTGGTTGGAAATCCTAAAGAAAGTGATAAGAAAAATTCCTCCCTATTATAAAGTTTTCAGAATCCATGGACTTTGCATTAAGGAGAATGAATTTGGACTTACACACCTCCTACACACAGTATTGCACAGAAAACTCAGCAGGATCCCAAAATACTGGAAATAGGGCATCAGCAATTAGCCTTCCCCCAGGATCCCTGCCAGATGTTATCCCTTGAGGAAGACTTAAAGATGCTGCTGCTTTCCCAAGTCTCTCAAAGATGCTCCCAGTGCTTCCT